TCCCACTACTCCCAGTCCTCCTCGCAGAACTCTGACCTCACCCGGCCGCTGCAGAAGCGCATGCAGACCCACGTCTGACCGCCTGAGGAGAAAGGGAGTTTGAAATGGTGTAACAAACAGCCAGGATTGTAAAACTGTGACTGAACCAGCCCTTGGACTGGATGCTCGGAGATACATATGGGCTGGATGGCTTTAAGACACTCTGTGACTTGTTTCAAGTGGATCAAGAAGCCTTATATTCCCCCTCCCCCCCGTGTTTAACCCACAGACCAATTCCTTTTTTGAACCATAATCAGAACTGTGCCACATAGAGGTTATTTGCCAACACAAACACAACATGAGTTTGGATTTCAAGCATTCACCACTTTGTTTCTGTAGTGGTATTGTTTTCAGAGGGCAGGCCTTAAAGGCTTTGTGTGACAATCAGCTTCCCTGGCAAAGACCGTTTTGCTGTTTGAAGATTGTCATTCATAGGAACTCAGCACGATGGACACGATAATGAGTGTGAGCCAATCTCCTGCTGCCTCTTGTAGTTTCAAGCACAAAAATGAATGTGCATGTGGTTTTTTGGTTGTTACAGGGATTTCTCTTCTCTTCCCCCACCTTCCCCTCAAACACTGTATGTCGAGCTTTCTTGTTGAAGCTGGTCTCCTGTGTAGGCGGAAGAAAACTTTCTCCATGTGCCCGCAGACGTCTCGAACATTTAAGAGAGCAGCTGTTTATCTCTCCGCAGTCGTATCTGGGCCACAGAGCTGGGCAGATAAAGAGGGGCTGAGATCTCATTTGAAATCCCTGAGTCATTATTTTACTGTGACACTCTGCGATAAGGAACATCAGTGTACATATGTGACAGTAATTTTCTTTTCTAGCATCTAATTTCTGACTCTGTTTTCCCTCATGGAGAACTCTAAATGAGACGTGAGCGCCTCTTCTCGTCCTTATCTTCTTTGCCTTGAGGGTATGTTTGAACTGTGTCAATACAAACTTTGACAAAGTGAGATAGACATACGCTATCTGCTCTCGCGTTGATAGGAAGCTGGATCCTCTATGGTGTTACCACGCCAAATCTAGCTCTAAGTCACGAGCAGAGAGCCTATGAACTGCACGGTGTGTTGTACTTGTGAGTTTCTCCTGCTAACACTGCAGATCATCAGCCATACACTCGAGGGTGACTGTACAAGGACATGTAAACATTATAGTTTAGATGAGATTCTCATTGTGTAGTTTTCCCATTGCTGTGGTCAATATCATGATTGACAGCAGAGCTTAGTGCACTCTGACTGAATACCTACCTACCTGTGATCGTGTTGGTCATCAAAGGGACATGAAAAAACAAATTTAGGAGTTTTATTTTAATATCTGTGATTTATTTCCGGCTACTGTTGACACACTGATTAGTTAAAGTGCTTTTTTTTTTTTTTTTCTACACTCAATGTGACATATATGATTCGGATTTGTTATTTTATCACTGACAATGTATTTGTTTTAGTGGAGAGCAAAGACAAAGAGTAGTGATGTAACCTGCAGCCATAAAACATGTCGACTTCACAGGAAATGTCCAAGTGGGCCTGTTTTTTTTTTTTTTTTTTTTTCCAAGAGTATCAAGGCTTTTCTTCCTGTTCTTTTTCACAGCTCTGAACATTTGCCATCAAAAGCCGATTTGGGCACAATGCGACGGCAGAAGTATCTGGCGTGTATTGGAAACTGAGAATTTTCTTAGAACTCATCATGCTGTATGAGAAAAGGCTCGCACTGACTGAAGGACAGTATTTTACCGTAAACAGAGATCTGTTCTGTGAAAGCCACAGTCACATGAGACAATATATGTTATTTGATTTAAGCTTTCAACAGCCTCGTGCATCTGTTAGCTCTCAAGGTTTGCTCTAGCCATTCTTTTTTGGATAAATTTTATCTGTTTTATTTCATTTCATTTTTCGAGGGATAAAGAGAAGTTCCTGGAAAATCAAAACTAATTGTTGCAGAACCTGACGATGTCTTTACCATTTCTTTGCCAAATGAAACACAAAATATGAGAAACAGTGTCCAAGGATACAATGTAATGTTCCCAACTTGATGCTTTTTTCCCAGTATTTTTCACCGCCCAGCTGTCAATTGAGATGAAGTGAGTTTGAAAATAAAAGATCTGCCTCTTAACTTATGTAAAACCAAGCACGACATTTCCAACAAAGGCAAGTTGTCGTTGTAAGCACTTTACATATGATTTTATTCAAAGCATTTGAAATGGGATTTCCACTTGAGTGGCAGTGGTTTGGACTGTAATTTTACAAATGGATTGGAGCCCATTGTACAGCTTAAGACAAAAAGCTCTGTTTCAATGCTGATAATCCAGCTTGGCACTTAGTAGACTGTATATAAATCTCTAATGCTGTCTTTCTCTGTATATAATTTGTCCTGGCTTTTCTTTTTGTTTTCTTTTTTTTTTTTCCTCCTCAGTCAGAATTCACTATATAAGAGCTCAACAAATCCATGTGGCATCGAAACTGCAAGACAGACAATCATTTTCTCTTTGTTGCTCTTCCAAAAAATTCATCAACCTCACTTGTTTCTCATAAATTACATGAAAGGCTTGAGTGAGCAGTTTCTTCTTCTACCACGGCTCTCATAGGGGAAAACTCTGGCTCCGTACAGCCAGCACACAGGAGGCTATAGGAAGAGAGTTGAGCTTAGCTGGGACAGCTTTGAAGTGGAATGCAGTGAGAGGTTATTATACCTTTAGCCCTTCTGAGAGATACCAGAATGCCCAGCAATATATTGCATTTGGCACCAGGATGACTGTTGGTTATGCCTTTGCCATTTTTTTTTATTTTCATTAATTTATTTGCCCCAGCATGTTGGAGCGCAGGATGACATTCTCACATTGCTATCGGCAGCAGTTAATTACAGAGTCATCTAGTTTGCATGGGTCAAAATACAGTTTTCAGTTTTATTAATTTTCTTCTTCTGTTATTTGCATATATTATGCAGCATTTACATGCACAGCCTCACGAGTGAAACAGCTCTACATTTTTAAAATTATACCAACAGACATCCAGCTTGTCTCCCACTAAAAATAAAACAGTTTTGCTTTTTGATCTAAAAGATCCAGTTTTTTCCTACTGCACTGATCGAAACATAATGCATTTTCCCGTCCAGAGAATCTGCACAGTGCACAGCAAACAGATAAATATTTGATAGACCAGGCTTCTGCCCCATCCCCCATGGCAGCAGCTACAGTGGGCAAGAGGGTACCGCAGGAAGTGAGTGCCATGTCAGTCTCTGGGAATCAAAGCCCATGTGGGGGCAAAATCTGCCCTGTTCACCTGCGGACGCCTCTCCGGCTGGTGCTGGCAGCTTCTGTTTGCCTGCGCAGCACAGATGCCAGGGCATAACAGATGAATAAACACAGAGACCCAGAACAATTACAAGGGGTTGCTGCCCTCTACCTAATAAAACAAAGAAACCTCTCTGAGTGGAGGATGCTGGGTAGTTTATTATTCAGAGACACTAAAGACTAGCCTGTAGTACACTGGCCATTTCTAAAGTGAGAGGCAGAGGTTATGAGCTGGGTGAAATGAAGACTGGCTGCTACGTGCCTGTTATGACTTCTCTGCCCACCGGCTGTATCATATTTGTTTCTCCTCAAAATGTTTTTCTTGGCCTGAATAAACTTGGAAAAATGAACAAATAAAGGCTGAGCAACAGTACTGCCAACATCTTGCCTATGCCTCCAAAGGATGGTTTACATGAGACTATTCATAGTCTCCCTCATTGTATGATAGGTGTTACTGTCAGTGATGGAATGCATTTGGGAAGATGCCATATGAAAACATAATTGATCATAATAACCCTTTCTTTACCGTGTAAATGCTTTCTGTCACGCTCTTTCTCTCTCTCTCTCTCTTTCTCTCTCACTCCTTCTTCTTTTCTACCAATCAATACCTTGTTAGTACTTTGATGAAACACAACTGAAGGGGAAAGGCCTGAAATAAATCATATTTGCAAATAAACCTCAGAGTTTGCTGTAGCCTGCAGGACACATCAAGAATCCATGTGGTTTGTTTTGCAGGATACAGTGTACAATAAGTCACAGAAAATTGAGAGAATCACAGCAAAGCATTTGAAAGTCAAATGAGCACACTTTCCTGTGATTGGTTAAAGGGTTTGTTATCCAAATGCTACACTAACCAGGTCTGTAAAAGTACTAAAGTAAGGGATGGTCATTTCAAGCGTTTGTATAAATAGTAAATCATAAGCATCATTGTAATAAAAGAAGACAACATGTAAATTCTACTGGGTGATCCATTATTTTCAGGCAGTGGCCCTCTGTATCTGAGAAAAAAAGAAAAATGGTTGTATTTTAACTGTACTGGTCTGTGAATCTATGATGCTTTTGCTCTGTATATTTGGAGAATAAAAATGATGTTTGAGTTTGTGTTTATGCTGCTTTTTCTGTCAGTGAGAATGAATGAGAGTTGACTAAAAGATCCACACGGGAAGCTTCTACTGCAAAATGAACATATTACATTTGCTCGGATGTTCAGAAGAATATACTTGATTCAGAAGCTCTAAACCAAAGCCTTCAGACTCAGTTCTGATCAGTGGTCACACTGAGAGAGAGATACTGTTTTTCTGTCTCAAAAGAGAGATGCTGACATAGAAAAAAAAAGCCTTATTATTAACAACCTGGAAGATCTTATTTACCCTTGTGTATTGTACATTCTCTGTGATGACCTGCAATGAAGGAAATCTCATTGCTAAACAAATAAGGCTTCAAATGGCATTCTTATTAATATGCAATTGAACATACATTTTTCATAAGCAATACACACAATATATATATATATATATATACACTCACCGGCCACTTTATTAGGTACACCTGTTCAACTGCTCGTTAGCACTTAATTTCTAATCAGCCAATCACATGGCGGCAACTTAGTGCATTTAGGCATGTAGACATGGTCAAGACAATCTCCTGCAGTTCAAACCGAGCATCAGTATGGGGAAGAAAGGTGATTTGAGTGACTTTGAACGTGGCATGGTTGTTGGTGCCAGAAGGGCTGGTCTGAGTATTTCAGGAACTGCTGATCTACTGGGATTTTCACGCACAACCATCTCTAGGGTTTACAGAGAATGGTCTGAAAAAGAAAAAATATCCAGTGAGCGGCAGTTCTGTGGGCGGAAATGCCTTGTTGATGCCAGAGGTCAGAGGAGAATGGCCAGACTGGTTCGAGCTGATAGAAAGGCAACAGTGACTCAAATAACCACCCGTTACAACCAAGGTAGGCAGAAGAGCATCTCTGAACGCACAGTACGTCGAACTTTGAGGCAGATGGGCTACAGCAGCAGAAGACCACGCCGGGTGCCACTCCTTTCAGCTAAGAACAGGAAACTGAGGCTACAATTTGCACAAGCTCATCGAAATTGGACAATAGAAGATTGGAAAAACGTTGCCTGGTCTGATGAGTCTCGATTTCTGCTGCGACATTCGGATGGTAGGGTCAGAATTTGGCGTCAACAACATGAAAGCATGGATCCATCCTGCCTTGTATCAACGGTTCAGGCTGGTGGTGGTGGTGTCATGGTGTGGGGAATATTTTCTTGGCACTCTTTGGGCCCCTTGGTACCAATTGAGCATCGTTGAAACGCCACAGCCTACCTGAGTATTGTTGCTGACCATGTCCATCCCTTTATGACCACAATGTACCCAACTTCTGATGGCTACTTTCAGCAGGATAATGTGCCATGTCATAAAGCTGGAATCATCTCAGACTGGTTTCTTGAACATGACAATGAGTTCACTGTACTCAAATGGCCTCCACAGTCACCAGATCTCAATCCAATAGAGCATCTTTGGGATGTGGTGGAACGGGAGATTCGCATCATGGATGTGCAGCCGACAAATCTGCGGCAACTGTGTGATGCCATCATGTCAATATGGACCAAGCTCTCTGAGGAATGCTTCCAGCACCTTGTTGAATCTATGCCACGAAGAATTGAGGCAGTTCTGAAGGCAAAAGGGGGTCCAACCCGTTACTAGCATGGTGTACCTAATAAAGTGGCCGGTGAGTGTATATATATATATATATATATATATATATATTATATTATATTATATTATATTATATTATCTGTATGTATGCCAGTTCAATCACTGCTCTATGTACACAACCTTCAAGAAAGATTGACAAGGTATTAACAGACACATCACTCCAATACTGAATGCTGCTGTTCCATGAATGAAGTGGATATTGCAACAACAGAAAAAATTATTCATTTATTTATGTATTATTCATTTATTTATCATAATGAGATCATGCAACCACTTTTATTTCGATCCACATTTTGTTAAAAAGTGATTAACACTTATGCCGTCATACAATTAACAGACATATTTGCAAAGATCCTCATGAGATGTTCAAGGAAGTGGGTGAAAATTAACTCTAACACATTTGTATTTACAGCAGCAGCAACAGCCAGCAAGTTCAGCAGCAGAAGAAGAAAACAAAACTACAGCTACTCAACAACACACTTCACTTATTTACTACAACCTTACTGGTGAGCAGTCATTTTCACAATTATCATCATATATCTATGTAAATCTCATTTGCAAAGGTGTCACAGGAAAGACACAACGAGTACAGCAAAGCAAATACAGCTAGTGTATGAGAGTGAGCAGATTCCATATAATCATCAGATCAGGAGAGACTGCAGTATTCAGAAAAAGAACAAGACCAACACTTTGAAATACATGTATAAGCTTTAAAAGAGAAAAACATAAAATAATCAACTGAACAATGAACAAAAAAAGTAACATTTCAAATATCGAAAGCAAAAGTTATTAAGATTTGTGAATTCTGAAATTACAAAGGATTTATACAAATGGTTTTAATACAGTAAGCTCAAAATCTAGGAAGCAAATTCCAATTACTTGGTACTGTGAAACTAAAAGCCCCTCTTTTTAATGCTGTGTGAATTTTGGAAGCCTACAGGGTAAGACCTGACAGGGAACATTTCCAATCATTTTTAAGCTTTTTAAAACTAGTCTTAACACCTTTATTAAATAACTATCTAAAACTCAATTCTTTTACATTAAGTTACTTGGATTTAAAGTTATGAATTTCAAAGAGAGTTGTATAATCTTATTTCTTTAAGCAGACTGAAACTTTTCAGAAGGACAAATAATATCCATTATTGAGCATAGCACACAATAACAATCCTTGATCTATCCTAAAAAAGACAACAGATTAATCTTTTTAATCTTTCAAATTTAAGGGTCTATATCACCTGACAGTGCTTTTGGATTGGACAGCAGCTACTTTTCCTTTTTTAAAACAAAACAAATGCATATCAGTGTTTTTTTGCACTTACCATTCCCAGCCAAAAAAACACATCCATTGCAATAGCTGTCACACTTGGTCAGGAAGAGTTAAATTTATGGAAGCTTATCATCGCCGACACATAAAAATCAAGCAGGGGCAGAAATTCTGGCATTATCTTTGGAAACAATGGCTGAAGTCCTTGTGAAGTACAAACTTTTCTCAAGTGCCATTCTGAGGCACAACTTCAGGGCTTTTTCTATGACTGACGGATTCTTATCAAATGTATGTTTTGCTCCTAATATTTTACTTGATAGAAACAAATACTGAGCACAGAGTGCTTTCAAATAGAATCAAAGGAGAGCCAAGTGTGGCAGAACAACTTTTATAACCGTGCAATGGTGCTTCAAAATCAAGGATATCGTTAATTGACATTGGCACTCGTTTTTAAACTCAAAAAAGAGATGTATCCACAAAAAAAAGTAAACATGCTACAATGAAATGCAAAGAAACTATCTTGTTCAACTCAGCCAAAATAGTATGCCTCTGACCACACATACTGCCAACTACAGCTCAAGTTTGTGGGGGTGCAGTGTTGTTGTGCTTGATTCCAGGAAGCAGACTTCAGTTTGACTCAAGTGTTGCTTTTCAGGAGTTGTGACTGGTCTTGGACTCGAGCACTGATGTCTTGGATTTGTACTCACACTCAAGCTCTGACAGCACTTTTGTAGGACTTATTTTTTCATATCGACGGTTTAAATGTTCAGATTGTTTCATGTAAGGCTCTGATAATCTCACAGTGGGTATGTATTTGTGTTGCATGCATGTTTATGTGCCGTCTTGATAAGCAAGTCATTGTTTTTAAGTGTTCTACAATAAATGCAAGCCAGAGAAGAGCAACATGTTTGGTTATGATTTTGACCTCAAATCTGGTAATTCTTCTCTGGTGGCTCAGACTTGATTTAGACTTGAAAACTTATAGGGTTCAAGACTTTACTAGGACTCATGGTTAATGCTGCGTTCAAGTTCCCATGGAGGTCAGATGTCGGAGCTGGGATGACATTACACCCGTGTTGATGGCATTCCAGTTAACAAGTCGGAAAATCAAGATGGACGCCTTTTATTACCCGTTGTTAGCTGTTGTTTACAATTGTCAGCGGTCGTTAGCCGTTGTCAGCCGTTGTTAGTTGTTGTTCGTGATACAAGTTGTAAAGAACGCATAACACAGTATTTTACCCTTACAAACACCATAGCACCGTGTTCACAGTTAGACAAAGGGCAGTACAACATATATCAATTATTTCATTTCACAAAAACAAAACAGAAGCGCTAATAATTTCGAGAGCTTTCATTGTTACTCTTTACTGTTGATGCATTGCGCTGCCATCTTGGATTATGATGTCATGTCAGGGTTGGTGAGGATCATCCAACTTTCCGTTTCGGAAATCCGTTCAAGATGAATTCCCAACTCGGAGCTCAGAGAATCCGACTTCAGGGTACAACTGGAACGCAGCGTTAGTAACTACATCACAGATCAGCGCAGCCCTTGGGTTGCCATTCGCAGTACTGGTCACATAACCAGACTAATAAGTGACAATAATGAGTAATCAGTCCTTGACCCTGAACAACACAGAAGAGCATTGTGTGCATGCATAATGAACATCTATATAGTGTGTACAGAGAGGAGAGTCAAACACAGGATACATGTGTTTGGTACAAAGGAATCATTTAAACAACAGATGCTTAAGAATCAAAGTCCTGGACGACCACAAAATTAGATATGGATAATTATAATTAACTAAAGCTGTGGATTCAAGAGCATACAGGTTTTTTACATGCATACACTGTTTTATGTTAGGACTGTACACTGGCATATACTAAAGCTGCTGGTTTCAAGTGTGTTTGGTCTTTCCTAGAAGAAAGATTTGTCTGAGAAAAGGCTGCTGGGTACATTATTAACATTTGTATCACCGCTGTCAGACACTTGGAGGCCTACATGTTGCAACCCCAAAATATCACTTTCATTAAAATGAGTTTATTCTGAATTGTTGCTTAGGTAATAAAAAGGAGAAATCCTTTGTATTTCTATTTCTATTCTGTGACACTTTCACTCATTGCTGTGAGACCAGTTTGTATGCCTTTGTTAAGGGTGGGAAGACTGCTGTTAATTCATGTCCCGCTCTGATATTTTCCAAAGTAGTCAGCAGATTCGCATCATTACATTTACAAGCAGTCCTTTAATCCATTAATAGGACCATTGCAGTCTTACTCCAAATTAAATGCACACACATAAACACCTTAGTTTGTCTGAGGCACTGGCTTCAATCCTACAGTACTGTAAGTGATCTGAATTCCTCCATGCATCGAGTCAATACAATGCAAGGGCAATTACTCTTTCCCTGGATTAATCCACTTGCAGGCTGCCTGGAAGCGTAGCTGTCTTGAAGTCCTGCATCAGAAACAGTCCTCTGATTTGTGAACACTGCGTGGCTTAGAAGAAAAAAAAGTAAGCATTTCACTGCAGCACATCAAACTAGCACTGAGACAGACAAAAGGACCCACTGAGCCTACATAAGGTTACCTCAAAGCAAGTGCTATAACCAGGCTGGTCTTGATATTGAGAATCCATCTGCCACTGACATGATTTCCCTGGAAAGGCTCTGCATGCTGATTAAAAATGCTTGTGTTTTGCAAACATTATACAAATAGCACCATTTGTGATGGATTTGACTAATCATGGAGATCCAACTCATTACTAAACAGATCTAGGCCAGACATTTGCTTACAGTTTCGCTTTAAACACTCTCCTTGGAACTAGTTATTGGAAGACACTAATCATTCATAGCCGCTCGTCCAGACAGAATAAAAAGCCCGCTACGCTCCCTCTGGGCCTCACCTTTTCCAAGAGATACAGTATTGTTCCAAAATGACACCTAAATGACTGCATCCTTTTAAATGAGCAGCTACAGCAGGGTACTCTGTCATGAATTACCTTGGCAGATAATTGCATTTGGAATCCAATTTAACAAAGGCCCAAATTTAGAGGGAGTAGCAGACTAAGCGTTTAGTGTGCCGACACGCTTTATTACAAAATTGTCCAGCTGCAGGTATTTACATGGTGTGAGAGGAAAGAGTGGTAGGAGGTTCAGCATGAACAGGTTTCACAACACATGTGAAGTAATTAAAATCCATCCAGAAAAACAATCATCTTTTGTTTGGGTCATCGTGCTGTGGGGTGTTAGCCAACACTGACATTCAAACTAAATTCATCCTGTTTTGCGCTGTGCTTTGAAAGCCCTGATTGGACTGTCAGTCAAACTTGTTTATAGTCTCCAAACTCTAAGCCATATGGTCTCATAGCATAGCTGAAAAGTGAGTTGAGTGACAGGTTGAAGAAAAACTCCACACTGCTGCTTCCTTGATGCAATTGCCTATGAAACGCCGCCTTTATAGTCGTTTGTTTATTAGGGACAGCTGTTTCAGCAGGAAACTCATTCAAGCAACATCTGTCTTTTAGAGATGCGTGCAATCATGAAAGGATCTGTAAAATAGGAATAAAACATCTCATGCAGTTACTGCAAATGGGGTTAAACAGACTGGATTTTTTTGGAAAGCCTCCTCATTAAAGGTGCCGTATACAAAAAAATATATATTGTTATCATGCCACCTGTGCATAGCTTAAAATGACAACTCAGTAAATCTTCCAGACCAGGTAAGTTTGCAGCATTTGAGCAAACATAGTCTCACAAACAGAGATTCAAACAGATATCAAATCAAACCCTGTGAGTAAAATCATATGTAAATGACAGATATTTAAAAAAAGACACACCAGGGAAATTCAATTCAACATCATTGCAAGGTTACTGCATTGAATATGCTGACCAGAATTTTAGTCACTGTCTGGGTGCGGGAGTGAGGTGTTTTTGACGCGCTTTTAGTACAATCCAATGTCCAAGGTTGTTGTTGAGTTATATTTTGCCATTTATTGATTACATGAAAAACAAACTAAAAAAGACAGATACGTTCGACTTACGATGATTGTGATGTACGTGATGAGGGTGAGAGTGGTGTTGGAGATTAGCGGTGAAAACCTCGTGTTCTTCCCGTTCCCCAGATCACTGCTTCACCTGTGTCCCTTTTGAAGCATTTACCTGCCCGTTCACCTGAAGTGCCCCTTGTGGTGATTGTGCGAGTAACAAAACAAAACCCAAAAGATAATATAGATAAAATGACTCATACAGTTAGATTGAGTAAAACAGCGTATTCCACCGACACCAGTAGACACCACATGAAATGTAGCTCAATATATATATATATATATTTACTTTCAGTTATAAACATAACCTGCAAATACTTCCCGCTGCATGCATTTCCTCTTTTCTTCACATAGTTCCTTTAATGGATGCTTAGTTGAAGTAGTATTCAAGTGCTGCTCCTTGCGAGCTCCTGAGGGGTAAATAAAACTGAAAATCCCGTGGCCTTGTGAGGGTACTGAAAATCGACCGATGTGGCACAATGTTTTTTCTAGCACAGGAATGTGGATTTAAACTTGGTTAAGATAAATAAATCTCCCCTCCTGATTACAAGGCGACTGCAGAGTCAATCCCACAGAGCATCTTAAATGAATTATTGATCCTATGACCTTTCCCTGTGTTAAGGTTTGCTCTTGTTTGTTCCAGCGCTGTTCACTGGACTCACACTACGGGCTATTCGAAATTGATCAAATGTTTGCTGTCCATATAAGGCTGCTAATTATTCTGGGTGTATATGCACAGTATAAGAACAGGTGAAGCGTGGGCTCTGGGCTTGTATCATTAAACATGCCTCACTTCACAGGAATGTGTCTGAGAGGAACTGAACTACTTTCAGATTTCTTGTCCTATTGATTGAAAAGATGTTTTCAACGGCATAATTGCACGGCGTCCTTGACATGCGAACACAAAGAAAGACAAACAAAGTCAGCATCCAATCTTTTAGAGTTCTTTGGTTGAAAAATATGTTACAGGTTTTTGACTTAATTATATTCTCCATCATGCGCCTGTGTTTGGCGAGGCTTGTTGACAGAGAATCGTCTGGATCAAGTCCTATTGTGCCAATCTAGCGGAGAGAAATGTCAACCTGTTAATCTTCTGCCAGTAATGATGTGATAGATGTGTCTTCTTTACAGAGACCTGCTTTAATTTAATCTCTGGCATGTTGACATTTTGCAAATGTAGACAGGCTGAAGTATATGAATTGTCAGAGGGTGGTGTAAAAGAGAAGCTCGGCCAATTGTAAAGCAAATTGAGCGCGTGCACAGAACAATCATCATTTTCCTAATTAAGGTTTGGTTTGCACTTCAGTGGTGAGGGCTCTCTCTAACGGTTGGAGCTCTTAAATTGCTTTTCATTTGGAGTGCATTCAAAACAAATGGAACAGCCTGCAGCAGACGTGACATTTGGAGTGCAAGCCTCTCTCCTATTGCAAGTCCATTTGTCAGACTCATCTCTCTGAGTTGGAAGCATTCAAGGAAATGTTAGCGTGTATGAATATTAATAGCACATGGATGCAGGACACAGAGAGAGCTTCTTAGAGAATAACATGAGCAGTTGTTTGGGGCAGCTTGAGACTTGGCTGTTTGAAACCGGAGCTTGTCTGGTGTATTCCTGTAAAACGATGAAGCATTGTTTATTGTGATGATTAAAGGCAGCGATGACCTTTATTTTTCCTTTATTTCAGCTAATCCACTAAATAAAAGAATTCTCCCCCAAAGCTAGAATACAGAAAAACAAGACCTTGGTCTCTGATGTTATCAAGAAAGAGGGAGTTTCTGTGATGATAAAGAATAAAGGGATGAGCTTTTGTTCCCTGTTGATCAGCTTGGGAGAGGGCTGTTTGCGCAAATATTGACTCAACTCCACTGGTTTATTCCATAGATAAACTATTTTGGAGGAGGTTACTTCGCCGGGGCTAACAAATTCTCCTGCTCTCTTGCACTTCAGACTTTATCCAGTCTTTGCAACAAACACAACCTATTCAAAGGGAGATACAACAGCAGTTGAAGGCCAGTAAAACTTATAGTCAAAGTTTATTCAAAGTTCTTTTTTGAAGTAGCAAACAGGAACACAATGAACAAGTGTGATTTGATTCACAAAGGAGAAGGCCAGAAAACATTTGTTATGACAAGAGCAGAACAAGGAAAGTCGAATAAGAACTCGCACTTGGTAATCAAACTTTTCCTTCAAGAAATGTAAATCTCAAAGACAGCTGAAGAGGGATAAAGCCCGACGGGATCAGTGGTTTCATGTGTGTACGCGAGAGGTGGGTGGGTGGGTGGGTGATGGACAGGCTCAGAGTGCAATGTGTCACAGTCACACAGCCTCAGATGACTGGCAGTAGGCAGATGGCTTCCTTCATATAGAGCCACAAAAGAGAAGGGTTAAAGGAAGGAGACAGAGGAGAGGCACCCACACATCACCCTTAAACCCCACAACAAGGTTCACCCAACCCCCTCCCACTGCTTGGCCGAACAAGCGCCTCACATGGTGCCCAGTGCACAGCTGCTGGCACTGACGTGACTCACGCTGCCATGTTGCTGCCTGCTGGATGGAGACAACAGAGGGGGGCTTAAGTGTGTGCGTCCGTGCTGCGAGCGTGTCAGACGGACCGTTTGTGTGTCTATGCAGAATCGGGGGCACACGGGGAGTGCAAAATGGGTCAGGGTATAAGAGTAGCCAGTGCTTTGCAGTGGGCCTGGATGGAAATGGGGGGACTAGCCAGGAACCCTCTGCCCCTACGATTCACCCTGGAGCATGAGGTCCAGCGGAGGGTGTAATAATGCCTTAATTGTGCCACGGATGGGAGTTATTGAGTTATTCACACAAGCGAGGAAGGGGAGGAGGAGGGGTGGAGCCCAGGGGTTGAGTCCGAGCCTGTAGTCAAAGAGAGGGAATGGAGAAAGGACAGAAAACAATGAGTCATGTCTTTAATGAGCTGAACATTCCCCCTAAGTGTCTCTTGGTCAGTGAGATGTAAACCATTCACATCACAAAATAACCTCTTTCATGTAGTTATCCAAGCCCAAAGTTAATAATTAGACACAGAGCGAAATCTTAAAATGCCTTATGCAAGATGCCAGTAAGTGTTATAACTGCTTATTTAATTTAATTTATGATCATTATCTCTTTATTTGAAGCTGACATTTGCATTTGTAGAGAATACAGGGAGTCTAAACAGCACAAAACGACATCAGGGACCGAGTGAAAATGGCAGATTGGAGACTTTGGCAGAGATCAAACATTTTGGGATCAGATATCAAAGACTTGCTGATATTCTGTTTAGAAAGCTTAAACTCTGCTCATTTATATGAGGACGTCACTACAGGATTGTGGTTCCATACTGCCCCCCTGTGATCGTGACCTGTAACAACATGTTTTTTGTCAACACAGACAGGCTGTGCCTAATTTTCTGTCCATTGATCTGAGCATATCACAGTCCTATCACTCTTCAAGCTTAACTTACATGTGACCTACATACTCTACGGTTAATTTGCACAGCCTTAGTTCTAATAAACTCTGGTTTTCACTCGTGTTATGTTCCATAGAATGAGTCATAGGTTGTGACTGTTTGTCCCTGTGAGAAGCGTGAGCAACCTTATTTGCATAATGAAGAAATTCTGAACTCATTTACATATTTGTTGAGGATTTTTTAAACTCAGGAGTTAAATGTCAAGCGTAATCAGGGTGCAGGATTAGGTGATTGGAGAACACCTCCGTCTGTGATAATAATTAGCAGTCTATGGATGGAAGAAAGCTCAAATGGGACTCAGGCAAATAGGATTCAGGTGGCTTGAACTACTTCATCCACATAGAGCAATCTTCTCCCGAGAAGCCACTTAATTAATTATCCATCTTTTAATCAGACTTTGATGCTGTAAGTGAATCATTCGTACCACCCATCAGTCTTATTCACTGACTCAAAGAAACATCGAGTTGAAATATGAGTACCACTGTTTCCTAAAAGTTACTTATCCGTGTGATCTTCAGAAAGGGCTTTCTATGATTACCGCTGATAGGGTGTAAATGTTAAAAAATTCTAATTACCCAGAATCCCATGTGGAGAACAGTTGGAGTTCCATGAAGTGATGAACCCTTTTCAAAGCAAAGTGGCGCAGAAAGAAAGCAAAGGGTAGACTCTTTGGACTGACTGGGGTGGGCGATGACAGATAGTGTGGGTATTTATTTAAATGAGAAATAATTAAAATGTCATCAATGGATGATCAGGAGAGCGGGGTTAAATAGCACAAAACAGACCTTTGGTTATTTAAATGAACTTGTGAATTTGCTGTTCTCAAAGCTCACGGAACAAACTACCAGACTGTGCACAGAAATACTCAGCTACACCCCGATGGACAAGGTAGTCTTTGCTCATTTTGTCCTCTTTTTGCTCGAGTGAAAAAAAAAACTCTTCCTGCTGACTATTAACAAGCAAGTTTTTCATTTATCATGAATATGTAGTCTGAAAAACAGGGCTGTCTCTTCGGCTGCTCTGCTGCCATCTACCCCCTGGCACCAGTTTCAGGCATTGAGCCCGCCGGCACACAAATCGTCAGTCTTGTCCTTGATGGCCTTGTTTGTTTTTGGATATCATAAAAAAGCATCACTGTGAGTTTTAGGGTATTTTCAAAAATGGTCAAAAAACTTCTCAATTTATCTGTGCTAAAATAACCACTTCCTGATGTAAAGGGATAAAAGTATGTTGCCGTTAGCGTCAAAAGCGAGGGTACTGTTGTGAAACTTAGCCGAGCAAGAATGATAAAAGAGATCAACTTTTTTTTTTTTTTTTTTTTTTTCTCCGAGCAACAGCTCTCCAACGTCTGTTAATGGCCACCAAGAAGAAAAGGGAAACCTGGACCGTGTTACCCACTGAAAACAAGTGTTTTATTATCTTCTGTAAATGTAAATATATGCAAAACAGCTGCAGTATAACATCCTCCTACACAATGAGAGAGGAGAGGATTAAAATTTCAGTTTGACATATTCTCTAAACTAGACCTCTGATGCTAGCAGAAGCAGGCTCTGAAATATACTGGAAAAGAACTGAGATAAATCCTAGCAAAACACGACGGTAAAGCCGGTAAAATCACTTCAGTGTGTGTTTGTTGGCAGAGAAATGTTCAATGCAAATCAATGACGATGAACTTGTAGTGCATGTTGTGTCAGATCAGATCTCAGTCATTTTAGGAAGATTTGCATTTCTATATTGTGTATTCACAGATGCAAGGAAGATTAGTAAAACATTAAAACTTTAAGGTAACAAAAGTTTCCTGTTGCTTTTGATGGACTTTTAAATCATTGGTTACCTCTGCCTCTTTTCCAATCTAAACATCTCTCTACCTTCCTGACCTTTCAGAAATGAATTTGTTTTGTAGCCTTGTTGACAAGCACTTCTATAGGCTTGCAAGAAAGAATGCCAGTTATGTCACAAGAAGCAAGGCTGCATTCCCCGTCTAACCCACACACACAAAAAAGAGAATAAAGAGGAAGCCAGCACCAGTAAACTCAAAAGCTGTTGTATTTTACTGTTAGGTAAGTAAGGCGGGCAAATTGGATCCTGATCAAGTGCAGCATTATTGATTGAATTTCTGCGTGGGCTAAGATCCTGACTTTATTTGCGCACTGACACTGTGAGCAATAACACGGTGAGCATACCATTACACAAACAAACACATGTACACACACATGCTGCCCTAAGGCGATTCACAGCTATATTTCGGATGTAAGATGTGGAATTTGAGGGAGAAAATCCAATATCTACAGTTTGAGGGGACAGTATCAGACCTGAAGAGCTTCTACTAATTCAAACCGGAGTGCGGTGGGTGTGAGACGAGGGCGAGCTGTCTGAGAGTGATACCTGTCGAGCCCAAAGGCCTCAAAACTCAATACTGCCAGAGGAGAGGTTCTATTGGAGCCTGGGATGAATTAAGAGCCACTGGAGAGCTTGAAAAGGAGGCAGAAAATGGAGCCTGGCTGTATCTGACCTAGAAGTCTGCAGCTCAGTCCTTCACAGTAAATAGGAATTCATTGGAGAAAGAAGTCAGCAGAGACTGCCAGAGAGACTGGGGGAGACTCAATAGGTTTGTTTCTTAACCAGGAGCTTCTCTCTTTCAAACCGCACCACTTACATGACAAGTAAATGTTCTTAGAGAAGACACGACTGAATATTGCCTGTGCATATTCGTTATATCTCTTACATCTTCCATTACCACATCTGGTTTGATTGTGTCAGCAGTAGCTACTGAAGGGTATCATTAATATGCTGTGTGCTGACACTGATACTATACTTAAGGGCACTGAATGAAACATACTGATGAATCCTTTCACTCCTTTAGCAGTGTCAGGAATTGTCAAGAATTTGTCCAGTGGAGAGAAGAGTTCTTACTCGATTTGACAACACTGAAGCCTTTCAGTACAAAACTCGATATAATCACATTGAACGCTGGTTCTGACGGCGTGTTTGTATGTGTGAGATCTTTTCGGTAAATTGAATCTTGCAAAGAGTTGAACAGAACCAAATTCTGGTTCAATTTTCTCAATGTGATACCCTTGACATGATTATCTCAAAACGGTGTTGTTAACTGATTTCAAAATGGTCTTAAAAGTGGAACTCCACCGGCAATGTCTGGCAGTGAGAAATGAGCTATCAAGTAGAGGGATTATTTCTTTGTGAGATGATTTCCTCTTTTTATAACATTTGTCCTCATGGCTGACACTGCAGCAAGATTAGCAAAGACATGTATCTTCTGTTCAAGCATTGTTCAAGATGAAGAAACTTTGCAACTTGACAAAAGGGCAAATTGGCCATAAAGAAGATGTAATGGTTACGCCGGTGCATGATTGCTGACACTGGAGCACACAAGGACTCTGTTTGCTAACTAGCCTACAGTTCACAAAGTGATATCATATTGACATTACTGTAAATAACTTTATGTAGCAACAGATGTAAGTATAAAAACTATAGTTCAAAAGAAGATCTGTATCCCATAAGTGAGAACAGGAACTAAAAACAGCTAATATACTGTAGCTGCAGTTCCTTTAATAGCTGCTTTGGACTATAGCTGCAAAAGTGCTGGAAGCCATTTTCATACCCAATCAAAAAAGCCCATCTTTACAGCAAAATTGAACAACTTTACTTCTTGAGTCTCTATCTGCCCAGTGTGCCCACACTATGTAGAGATGTAGGTGTCGTAAGTGTTGCGTAAGTAGGGGTACTGCTGGGTTGACTGACAGGCATACTGTAGCTTTAAGAAGGAAGGAAATAGTCCCTCTCAGTTCTGTCTTAGTCAGTGCATTTGCATGCACAGCTTTATCGGACTAAGCTCATAATTTATTTTTTTCGCCAAATCTAAATTCTCTCCTTGTCTGTATATACATGCAGCTGAAAAAATCGCATATGCATTGTCCGATCATACTACAACTACACTGGTCACATGGTAGAGAAAATCGAATTCCAATCACATTATCAGGGTATCTTAACCAGAGTTTTTCAACTCTAATCGGAATTCTCAAACTCAGATTATAGTCAGACTAAGGTGGTTATATGCACTTCAGTGTGTCACTTCGAGTGTCATATAAATGTACTGAGTGTCTTTTGTTAAGTTTACTTCAGGTTAGACTGAGTCACCATTTCTGAGAACACGGTGTTCGTCACAAGTTCGTTTAGCCATGATTAGTGGAGGTAACCCTCCTAGGTTTAAAGTAAACATCTACTGCTTACCATGCCCAGCCACCCCTAAAAATGCATGCTTAAGCAAGAGTCACAGCTCCAGAAAATCTTTGTTCAGGAAGTCCAATTGTGTCCAAATATCTCACCAGGAGCAACACAACATAATATTTTTTAATTATACTTTGATACCAGAGTAATGTTTATTCTCTCTTTCACAAATAAGATGAAGATTAGAGAAAATCTTAAATCTTTGCAAATTAAAACAGCAGAACAGAAACTTAAGATATGAGTGCATGTAAAAGAAATTTTCCATAAGATAACTTTGCCTATAATGTGCCACAGATCTCAAATACTCTGATAAATTAGTTGTTGTGGTTGTAAATAGTTGAATAGATATAATTACACTATTTGTAAAAATAAATAAATAAAAATGTGTGAGGGGAGGATTGACTTGGGAACAGAATGATTAATGTCAGATTAAAGATCTTCAATCTATCTGACTGACACTCCCCATAGAAATGTAATTATCTCCCAAATAATCTCCCAGCTTAAAAGTATCCTTCAATGTAAAGAAAGAAATGAATCAGTGAGAAGTAAATCCATGGTCAACAATCCAGTGGTGACTTGAATTCTAAAGACGACCTTACAATTGACCAGCGTATTCATCATCACAGCTGATTAACTCGAAATAAAGCCTGACATGTCAAACGATCCTACTGGGTCTCATCCCCATTTTGCATTTGGGATGAGTCGCTTTATTGCAGCTCCCTCAGTTTGTTAACGACAAAAGTAGTATAATTCATGATGTCCTGTAAAACAGACAGTTCCCTCCTGTGTCTTCAGAAGAAGTGATGTTGTTGTGCTGGTCAAGAGATTGTGTAAAAGCTTGTAGCTTCAATCACCGACTAAGAGCTGTTGCTTGTTTCAGGACAGGCAGGTAAAGAAGAAAATAACAGGAATGCTGGCTGAAAATTTTAAAACTCAAACAAAGCTAAAAGTAGGTCAAGGAATATAAGTACATTGAGGCATTTGAGAATTAATCAGAACTTGTTTGTTGTTACGCTTTTGAATCTTTTTTAAACACAGTACCACAGCCAATGATTTTTTTATTCTTTTTTTTATTTATTTAACCCTCCAAAACCGTGGTCTCTTAATTCTGGTCCAAAACAGGAAAAAAAATGGCAAATACAATTTTTCACAAGTGCAACTTAATAAAGTTGCCGTGTACCATCACAAAAATCCTCCCTCTGAGGTTTGTGTTTGTGTGTAACAGTAGGTAATAGCTTCATATTAGCATTTGGATTTCATGAAAATGGATTAGATCAAAAAAGAAGACAAAGCTTTGTTTCTCGCCGCTTGTTTTATCTGGTCAGAGGGAGCTGGAACATGTGAGAGGCAGCAGCTGGAGTGTGCCAGAAAATTATCGTTATAATTAGATAAATGTGTCAATCAAATATATGACAGAAAAAGTCACTAATGGTGTTTGAAAATCGAGAGGAAGCATTTGCCAATATAAACATACTGGAATATGCATCTCCTCTCTACTCCTGGCATCATTCAAGTATGAAGATATACTCAAACTGATCTATTTGCCTTCTTCTGGACCAGAAGAGGGCTCTCAAAAATTGAAAGTTCCAATACCAGCTCATTTTAGGGCTGTCAGACATCTCTGTTAAGATAACAGAAAATGTTTTCTGAGGGTGAGATGACCTCATTTCAAGGGAAAATGACACAAGAGGAGCAATCTGCCGCTTGCAGCCATGGCCTGATGGTGGTGGTGGTGTTGGCCAAGTGGACTGAAACATGTGAAACTGATGTTATTTTTCATAGACAGACTGGGGGAGTGAAAAGTGAATTGAATGTGTAGGTGAAGAGATTCAGACACTCTACCTCAGTGCTTGTAAATAAAAGCCATGGCTGGCAGATATTGTCCATCTCTATTTGCAGGTGCCCATCGCAGCACTGTCACTGCGTTTCAACAGCAGCACTCCAAGGTTAATTAAAAGGCCACTGTCTCCCAGCTGACTCTACAATGCTCCTACAAGAGGGCACATAATTAAAGTGGCACCTGTTCATTCCCATTTGTGGACCCTCCACAGCAGTGGGTCCTGGGCTGCAGTACAGAGGTTCAGCAGTGACAGGGAACATACAGCTGTAGAGCATGAGTGGGATCAGTTTTGATGTTCAGTGGCATCTTCAGGATTCAGCCATGCAGAATGATGGCAGAGGTGCTGCAGGCAGTCCCATGTAGAGTAGCGGGTTGGACAGCGTGACTCACCTGTGATCACACAGACACAGTGTGAGGTCTGTTTTTTGAATTGAGAGACCCAGATAATTGCTATGTGTCAGAATTAATTATAGACATGCACTGTTTTAGAAATCCATTTACATTATCACATTTTTACTACAGCCTGTGATATTTCTCTTGAGTTATGTTTCAGCTTGAGAAAAAAAAACGTTTTCATGCACAATTTAACAACCTCTCTTTCCTCCTTTTTGGTTGATCACACTGACATTAGACATCTCAAACTGTCAACTTTAATCTCTGTGGTATCATCTAATAGTGTCCATCAACTGTGTTTTGTCACATATAAAAAAGATATGTCCTTCTATGGGCTAAAATCATATGAAAGCTGTCTTTTTTGACACAACAGATTGTAGGCAGACATTTTACCATTACACATAAATTGTCACATCGCTGCTGAAAATATCCCAGATGTCAGGCCCCTTTTTCCTTGTGTCATTTCCTGCAAGATGGTTCTCCTTGTACAAGCTTCCACCACCAAGGATTTCCGGGTGTTGACAATTTAAGGAAATCTAGGACTCACACTGTGCTGTCATGTCACACAAGTCCCCTGTGAAAGATACCCTGCTGTACTGTGTACAGATTTAGTGACCCACCCTGAGAAAGAGAGGCCCAGTGGGAGCTGGTGCCCTACTCTCTGCACAACAGGTAATTATCACCACCATCACCCATTAAGTGGTTCATTCAAATGAGCAAAATTGATATGTAGATTAGGTGCCGTGCCTATCACTGTCGCATGCATGCACGCATTTGCCATGTGCATAAACAGAAACTGGCGCATATGCATGATCATCCACACGCATCTTATGGTAGAAGTAATTGTCAATGCCTCACAACAAAACCAGGTAAACTCAGACACACGAAACACACACAAAATCATTTTGACACCAGCAGATTAAGGATGCAGAGGACATCCTGCAGCGCTTTTTATTAACATATGCCATCACACTGGGGGGTCAGCGTTGCTAAGCAGAGCATCGCCAGCACTGCAAAGATTATTTATCAAATCAACACTGCTGATTTAAGCCCCCATTACTTCCTGCCCTGCTCTGCTAGTTTCTACTCCACATGACAGGGATACCACTTTAAAAAGGAATTCCTACTTGAGACTGCAAGTATCTATTCAGTCAGACCTCTGAGGACATTACTACTTTGACATACTTGGCTCATAGCTCAGCTTAGCTCACTTATGATGGTGTGATGGTAGTTATCTCTTACTGCTCAACCGTGGATTTCACTAAAGCCTGTGCGCTTTGTAGTGTTTTCTGTGAATAAATGGTATTTTCAATTCAACCGTTTAAATTATCAATGCTTTTTTTTTATCAAAACAAACATGACGACAATAGTACATAGGTGTACCCAGTAGCCGCGGTATTGAAAAAAAGAAATGGGGGGGTGGGGGGGTGGGGTGGTGGTGGTGAATTATATTATTTGGGACATATATTTTGATCTGCTGACAGTGCACATGGTGGGAAACCAACTGTGTACCCATTTTATTGTTGCTAAAGCACAAAGATAATTGTTATATTACATTATCCCTCGGATCGAGCTGTTCATGTCGCTTGGCCATGATACTGAAATCAAATTAGCGTCACCAGCGCTGCTTCGCCACTTACTGACGTCATAAAAAAAAAAAAAAAAAAAAGGGAGGGGGGTTGTCTTTTTCCCACATGCTTCCTTACCCAGAGTATACTTGATATAAGCAAAGCCCCCTGTTGTGGGTTCTTGCTCAAAGAATCAAAATATAGTGGAAAAACACAGACATAGTCAGAAAAATCTGGTGATGGTGATATTTATTTAAAGCCAGCCTTCTATGGTCCAGTGCAAAAATATTAACAGAAGTGCAAAAAATGTAAAATACTATTAACAAAATGTACACGGCGAAAAGAAAATGCCAACAAGGCAGGAGTTCCACTATAACTCAAGAAAAAAAATCAGAAACACAGCAGCAATACAAAAGTCAGTTTGGCACTTACCTTCTATGCAACAAACTCCTGACTCAATGAAAGTTCCAGGCAGCCATCTTTTAACCCCCTCCCCCTAGCCCCTCCCAGTGGGCGTTATTAAATACATAAATTTGGAAGAAAAAAAAACCACATTTATTCAAACTCTTTTTACCATTTTTACTAGGTTTTTACACAAATCAATTGAGCATTAATTTTAAGAGATTCATGGTAAACAACAAGGGGATTCATTATTTTTATCTATTTATTTTTTTAAATCATGTGACCACTCTGACCCGCCATACCTATCGATTTTACACCCGGAAATCACGCGCTCTGTTTCTCATTTGGAAACACGAACCGGCATGAGGGCCAGGATATATGAATGGACGCCCGGCAGGTAAGTGGAGCGATGAATGTCAACGTGAATGTGTGTTTAAATTAGCTGATAGAGCTCCAAGTGTGCACCCTTGGTTACCCTGTCCAACAGAGAAGGGAGAGGAGAAAGTAACGCTGTTTAGTTGGTAATAATTAGCGACGCTGGCGGGAAGGGAAATGCTTGGCACGTATCTAGGTGTGTGTGTGTGTGTGTGTGTGTGTGTGTGTGTGTGTGTGTGTGTGTCGCTGTATGCGCTGCCCGCGGTCATTGAGGACGCCGCTCCTTCTCTTAATTTCAGCGTCACACACGTCAGAATGGTGGTAATATTTCAAATGTTTAAGTAGTAGTAGTGGCTTAAGAGATGGAAAGTTGGGATGACTGTTTTAGAAGGGGGATGATTTGACCATTTTCATTCAGGGGGGATGCCCTCCCCTCTCAACTTGAGTAGGCTACCAATTTAAAAGCCAAACTGTTCATCTAAGTTTACCCCAATAGTTATAGTAAAGGTAAAATGAGTTAATCATATCCAGGGTGTGGGTCAAGAACAAGGTTGGGGTTGATCATTGGATGCAGTATGTACTTACTGTGGCACATCTAACTCAAGTGTATGCTCTTTTTCATTTTGCCTACTTTGTTCTTGGTATCAAGTTGAATATTTTACAGCTAGACTGTAAATAAACACAGTGAGGGGGCTTTGGGTTCTTTGTTAGCCTGACACTAAGAATCCAACTACATCCCTGCAAGAATCAAAGCAGGAAAATAGGCTGTTCAGATGGTGCATCTGCTTTGTCTGCCTGAGAAAATCCTTTCTTCACTATTCTGACTGGCTATATTTTTGTCAAATTTGAAACCATTTAACTTTCCCTTCAGACTTTTTTCTTCTTTTGGTTCTTTTTTACGAGTTATTTATTTAACCTAAAGCTGGAGCTTTGGATCTTGTATTTTTATTGCATGGAGGATTCATTTTTTCCTTTCATTGGATTTTCTCCTGCTCAAATAGCTGCTTCTCTGCGGAAGAAGTATATCTTATTGTATTTCTTTATATTACTTTTTGGTGTGTTTGTTTTTCTGTACACAAAATCCTTCCTCTCTATAAAGTGCACTGTCTGTTTTAAAACTTAAGTACTTTCTTTACACTTTGAAAATGAGACAACTCTTGAATGCAGTACGAAAGAAACTGGCTGAAGTTAACTGCCTAGTGCCTTTTGTTGAGGGCCTATCATTGTCGCTGTACTCGAGTGTTTGTTTCAGCAGAGAACTGCAGAAGAGAGACTAGGCTGTGACTTTAAAAGAAATGTTTATGTGTCTGTTGAAAGAGAAGAAGAATCGGGGAGAAAACCAATGTTGTTGAACATTGTTATGAGTTAAAACTGTATTTTGGTGACATTAAAACTCTGATGTGAGGATGCCCATAGTGATTGCTCCACAGATATTGCAGATGCAATGAAGATAAGGTGAAGAAATTCCTTTTTTCCAGACAGATTTTGGGCTTATCTTAATGCAACATCTTGTTCCTCTTTGTCCTAACAGTGTTAGTAGAAGCATTGGTTCTGCTATTTTCAGACCTTAAACACTGTTAGGACTGTCTCTCTGATGCTCTGCTGTTCTAATTTACACTAGGTTGAACAATGTCCGACATATCTTTTTGGTTCATCTTTATGCGCCCCCTGCTTTAGTGCGGGTCACAGTTTCTACCAGAAATGCTTTACCTCCCCACAACAGCTTACTCAGGCCCCTGGAAAAGCAAATATCGATAATCTTTTGCATGTCCCAGGGCCAATCTCTGTGCCACCTGAATTATTCAGTTTTTCTTTCTCATTCAACGTCCCCTGGGGTGGGCCCATAAAAATCATTGCACCAGGGCTAGTCATAACTTTCTGTCACTGAGGGCTGGATTAGTATGAAACATTATCAGTGGGTGTGGGAAGAGGGTGGCATCAGTCATGACCAATAAAATCTTTCCCGTCCCCTAACGGCAGTTCACTTTGTTCCAGGGCAGTATGACAGTTTTTTTGTGATGGAGGGTTGAATCTTGGAGAAAGTGAATCCATGGAACCTTGGATTTAACCAAAAGGAAAGGAAAAGACTCTAATTTTTACAACTCAAGAGTCAATTTATCAGTGCAGTTCCCATGTTATTCAAATTTTTATTATACCAGTTACAAATGACCATGGTTGCTAAAAGGTGCAGCAGTAAGAAGTTTTAAAAAAGGACAAGGGAAGTCATTATCTAGCTTTCATTACCGCAATGCTCACCTTCATTAACAAAACCTCAGGCAGAACATGCATCTATTACACACCATCTATACAGTACGCTGTATATATGTTTCTAAATAACATATTTGCAAATGATTGCAGCCAGCAGCTATTTGTGTCTCATGTGTGAAGATAAAGAATTTATATTGAACTCGTGATTTAGTCACACTGTCAGATAATATATCATAAAGTTCTGGTGCTGTTCATAAGTTTTTGTCTCATTATAGGTTTCATGCCTAATTTGTCTTGCTTTGCTCCTTTACACCGACCTCAAGTTTACTTCCAAGGATGTATTGACGTTGATTAATGAGCCAAAGTATATTTTGCTGCCTCTAGGATATACAGAATAATAAACTGAAGATCAGCATGCCTGTTCTGTCATTGTATATTAGGACACTGCTTGAAGTTTTACCACTAAACTTTATTCCATCCCCTCTCTTAGAAGAGATCTCATTCATGTCCTGCCAGTCTTGGTTTATAGATTGTATATACAGTTAACACCCTTTTCTTTACACCCCCACATTAGTAAATCGGTTTATAATCTGTTTATCAACCAGACTGGTCCTGATGATCCCTCCATAGAAACCCCACCTGGTTGTCATGGTTATTTACCGCATGTCTGCAGTGGCAAGCCACAAATCCCTGGACAGTGTTCAGTCCACAATAGTGACGAGCTAGAGGGAAAAGTCTCTTTGGTCAGCTGTTTAATCTCCCATGTTTCTGCCACCACAATAACTGCATACATCCATCTGTTGTATACAGTCTGGACAATGAACTTCTAGGGGAACTGTCAGATCTAATTGTGTGTGTTTGTACTGCAGAATGGAAGTGTCTGGAAACAGTTTGTCACCCTACACAGCAGACAATGAGGATGGAGAATGGCACAATGTGTCGAGCTAATACAAGCCTAATAAGGGCTTCAGAGACTTGTTAGTCAGACATGAGGCCCTAGTGGTGGTTCAGCTGAGGGTCTAATGCTCACGGTCCATGCCAAAGCTTTCCAGCTAGAGGCACAGTCTAATCTGACTCATGGTACTGACTCATGAATTTGATGCCAGGGCGATTGTCATAGTGGGATTCCTGTGACTGTAACATCCTAATAACTGCTTTAATCCTGTTGATAGTGACTACATCCACAGTAAGTGTTTCTCTCTTCAGACACATTTAAATGAATCATTAAATATTCCAAAGTTTCAGAGCAGTAAACTCACCAAAGCCACCGCCAAATGGATTGAAGATGTCTCCAAGGAGACCTAATTGACCCTATCCTCTCGTCATCACTGGCAGGCACAAAATTAATTAAAGCAGGGCTTCTCTCCAGAGCATATTCTCTAATAAGTAGCTCATTGCCCCTCTGACATTTGAGAAAGTGTGTGTGCTTGTGTTCCTGTTTGTGTGGGAGTGTGGCATGCATCCCTTCATAAATAGCCAGAGAGTGGGTTTTCATGTTATGTCGGTCGCAGAGATCAAAAGAGCTAAAACAACGTTTATTCTAGACTTCCAGGGTAATAGTGTCAAAGTGATATCCATTTATTATTACTGTGCAATTGGACCACACTGGAACATCACAAACTGTCTACACATGTGGAGTTACAAAATGAACAGCAATATTGTTGGAGATTCATTATGCAAATTATTCAGTTTGTTTGGTAGAGTTGGCACATTGGTCTAATAACGTGCATGCTGTCTTTTCCCTTTGTATCAAGAAATATCAGAATGGATGTTTTCTTTGGTTGTAATCTAGCAGAGATGTGACGTTCACGAATGAGTCAGTTGTTTGAACAGCTCTTTTAAGTGAATGATGAGAACCACTTTACAGTGACGAGCAAATACGTCACCTGTGTGCCCCAAACACTAGGTAGTTATCAGTTATCTGTAGCCTGTGTAGTTTTTACTGCGCCACAAAGTTTTTTAGGTGAGGGTAAAATTCAAAATAGTGATCTCACTGTCAAGGCATTGGTATTTTTTTACAATGAAAACACAAGCCAAATGAGATTATAACTAATATTCAGAAAAACCCACTTGTAGCCTTGGTTGACTTCTAAAAAAAAATTAAACATAACAATGAGCCAGTCTTTGTATGGCTCTTTGAAATGAATGGCGCCTCAAGATCTGACTCCCTTCAAAGAGCCATAAATCCCATCTCTACGATCTAGACCTCACAACTCCTGTGTAGTGTTGTGTCGTTCGCGAACGATTCATTCAAAAGAACCAAATCTTTTAAGTGAACGTACTGAACCGAATCACTTCCTTGAGATGAGCTGAAGTGAGAAACAGAATTGCCAGTCGAGCAGCCGGCGAATGAGGGACCACATGCGCTGACACCTGAATCACTTGGTGAACGTATCACGTATTGAACTAAACTTTCTGGAATCATTTTTGTCAGACAAAACTACCTTTTTTTTTAACTGCTAAATTGCCACCACAACAACTTGCATACAATAGGACATAGCATGTAACAAGTAGTGCATTAAACCTGCAGCCTCCTATCATTGCAGCGGTTTGCGAGGGAGTGGTGTATGTTCAGTTTGAATTCTTCTAAACGTTCAGTGAACGAATCACTCACTGACCCCAACTTACAGAGCAGACCTGATAAATAGAATACCATAGGACAGTACACTTAAAACATCATGACTTATAAACAAGTTCATTTTTACAAACCTGTTTGCCAAAGCAACACATCCGAACACTCTCGTCTCCCTGTCCCAGAAGCTATGAATTGAACTGAATCCTGAACCGTTCAGCTGTGTATCAGATCAGGAGGTCGGAGTGGCAGGCTTCTCCCCGCCAAGCGCTACACGATTCTTTTTAGTGAACTGATTCTAATGATTCAGTAAATCTAAAAGAACTGCCGTGCCCATCACTACTACTGTGAGGATTTTTTTACTGTTATGAAGTAGAACGACATTGTTATTGTTGCCTTTTATAATATCCAGAATCAAACAAGACCATCAGGGACAACATTAACAAGTTGTATCTTGTTCATTTCAATGCCTGAAACAGGTGCGAGGAGATATAGGTGACCGCCAAGCAGCTGAAGAAACATCTAATGTAACATTTAATAAGAGATTTGTGCGTCAAAAGTCAGCACTATAGTGTCGTTTTTTTTATTTTTTCCCCCTCAAATTGAAGACTACTGGCATCACACATGTGATGCCAAAGTTGACACAAACCACAAGTTTCTCACAGGAGCTTTAACCAATTGTTAAAAACAGCTGTGAATCTGGTCTCACTGTGTATTTTCCAACATGAGCACAGTTGGAGAAAAACAGATTTTCAAACAATTAACCTGATTAACCTGAGAGTGTCAAAAGCTACATGTTAATTCCCCACATTGAGTCTTTATCATGCATAGAATGTCAACACGTAACTCTGGCTTCAGCAAGACCTTTATTACTGTACAACAGTCACACACCTGCATCATTAGCAGCATGTCAGATAGTGGTGGGCGGCAGAGACAGCGGAGAGCAGCTTGTTGTCTTCACTTAGATTCATCAACAGGAAAACATCCAGAGACTGTCTGCAAGGTCCAAGCAAGATACCTCCCCTGAAGAAAAAGACAGCCTGTGTCAAAATGGACCAGATTGTTTTTGCCTTGTCAAGAACATAAAGTTTTCAGCAGTTCAGAATCAAAACGAAACACATACTGCTGCTTTTAAGCATGATTTCCACATATGAAGGAGCTTTTAATTACCTCATTTTGGAGTTATTTACAGACTGTGAGGATATTTCTATTTGTGGTGACCCAAGTGGGCTAATGGGACACCACATATCTGTACTGATTTTGTCCAGTGCGTTTGTAAGTCTGGTTTTCTGACAGAAAAAAAATTAACTCACTTACAGTCAAATCTATCACTCACTTTGGATATCGAAGTAGAAAAGTGTATAATAAAAGCCTTTCCCCTCTCTGCTGTGAATCACTTTGTCTTCACCTTCCCTCTCGGCATAAAAGATTATGAAATAGAAGCTGTCAATCTTTTTGCCAGTAGTCTGGTTCGCTTTTGTAAGTCATAAAGAGGTGCCGCTGACAATTTTGAGTCTGTTTCATAACCAGTGAAATCTCAGGGGCTTCAAGAACCAGGAGAATAAGTATGTGTTGTAACGATTGAAATCAATGAAGATAAACAAATTTCCAAGTCATGTAGGCCAACAAATACTCCCTAATAATCACACTAATACTCATACCATTCTCACTGATAATTTCTAGTCCTATTTTCTCATTACTGTCACAGTTCTTTATTAATTTTACAGCGTCTGGAGAGACGGTTTTTGAATGTGTACAATAAAAAATCTTAATTTCCCATCTATTTTTTATGGCACACAGGTTCTGACCTACATTATTAAGATCCTTGATCTACGATTCATTCACCCAACTCCTTAACAAGCTAACAAACCACCTTCTCTGTCCTAGTTTGAGTTACACGAAGGTGATGGTGATCACTTTAAGCTGTCAAAACACAAGGTGCATCCAGCTGTTTTGGTTGATGGCTCATCCCTGTGCTCTGGCTCATGCCCCTCCAGCACCAGACCCCTACAGGGGTTCCCAAAGACTTTACAGTTCAGTGGTCAGGGCTTGTTCATTGACTCGTGTCCGCATAGCCATGCTGACACAAACCAGAGGCAGAGGAGATGTCATAAGATGTCATATGGTGCTGTGTTTCAGAGATGGTGAGTCAAGGGAGCAGAGATCGTCTGTACCGCGGCAGAGTGGTACACAGAGAGACGGCAGTTTGGGGAGGTTAGGGAGGAGAAATGTTGCTTACAGATAGATAAATAAAAATAACTCATAGGGTTAAACTATATGTATGTGTCTATAGATGCGTAGATGAATCATCCGCCGCACAATGGGGGTTTCCTGACCTACTCTGTGTGCAAAGCATTAAAAAAATGTTTTCTGGAGCGGTGCTGTAACCCTAGGCAACTGTCATGAAGCGAAACAGACAGAGAAATGGATAGATGAGGGCTGCAGGTAATTCAAGAGACTCACCTTGTTGCCAGGAGAAGCCAAGCTAGCCAAGCAATCTCACCAAAGCCACCAATGCATGGACGAATCATGCAGGAGAATCCTTTCTTTTTTTCTCCCTTTATTTTTCAAAGTCTTATGTAAATTGATGTGCCCTTAAGGGAATACACTCCAGCAAGGCGGTGTCCTGGGAATTTAACAGTGCTAAGAAGAGAAGTCATTAATTATTTATAGTTAATGAGCCAACGGTAATAAGGTACATACACAATGTTTCCAAATCAAGACTCATAAAGAGCAGCCGGTTATAAATATACTTGGCTTCAGAGCTCAGTGTTTTTTCTTTGGTAACTACAAGTTATAAATCTTTAATGATAGGTCATATTTATTTGCAGTTATTTGTAGCAGGGTCTGGATTTTCAGCATGGGGTACGTTCTGGTTTCCATTTGTTGTATGTTGGTAATACTCTTTTGTACTGTAGTACTGACCAGTCGTGTTTCAGTAGGTTTAGGTATATAAAGGAAAAATAAAGCCTGTGTTTAGCAAAAGTAGGCATGAATGCACACCCTCTAATAACACCCTTACCCTAGCATCTCTATTTAGAGATATATGAACGCAAGCGCAGCAAATAAAATGTTATAGATCTGAAAATTAACACAGGTGTCAGATCTGTCTGCGCCTGTGCTGTAAAAGCTAGTCAGTGAAAAGTTTTCTTGATCGATCTCCCCTAGGTTACGTTCTCTTCTCCTGACAAGTCTGCATTTTACTTTTTACACATCTCTGTCATGGTGTTGTGGGTTTAGACTGTGGACAAATTCTGAGACTGTTGACATAAAATGAATTAATTACAGGACTACGATGTTATTTTAGAAAAGACAAATAGACAAAAGAGGCTAGGTCTATATGAGGGTTCTTGGTACAGCAAATTCAGGGAGCTGCGGTCTAGATGGCATTTAGCCCTCAACACTGTCACCTAACTTTTTTCTTGCAAATGATAGTCCACTCAAAATGGTCCACATAAAATCATGCACTGTATATGTTAAAAAAAAATCAAAACTCTGGTTATGTGACATTGTATAATACTGTCACAATGTAAATATTTTTGGTAGCAATAACAAATGTTTTTATATTAAAAAAAAAGTTAGAAGATATGCATAAACATTTCAGCGGAGTATAGAAAGTACAGCCAGTTTTAAAACATGGTAGACAGTGAAAATGTATTTTTCCCTTTGAAAACAAAACCCTGCCTGACAAATATATTAATATATTTAAGCTAACGAGCAAAATGTGTATGAGCGGAAGGTTTTCAGGACAACATATTAAAGCGAGGAAAAACAGCACCACACTCTCATCAAGAAAAGACAGCGAGTGGAAGAGCGCCAGACAGAAATCCCACACGGCCCAAAAGAACTCATTAAGAAACAAAGAATCAATAGCTGGATTGTTAGATGGAAGCAGGAATGAGCACTGGACAAGGCCAGTCCAGAGGCTTACTTCAGATCACCACTTTAAGCCAGTTTTGACTTCCAGCACCTTTTATCACCCTCACACCTTTAAGTCGATCCCCTGCCTTCCCCAACCTCTGACTATCCGTCCGCGTGACTAACCAGCTCTGTGGTTTAGACCTCCTCTCTTGTTACAGGATCTGAGCACAGGATAGAGAGCATCCATGTGCAGAGGACGTTTTTATCCACACTCAGCCCTGCCAATTCCAACTGCCTTGAGATATTTTTAATAAAAACTCACCGTACCGTCAATATGGAAAAACAAGGTAGGGTTGTGAAGTGAGAGCACAACATAAATTGTTGCTGTCAAAAAAAAAAAAAAAAAAAAAAATACTGAATGTGTTATTTTGTTAGAGGTTTCTTTATTGTGAAGGCTTGCCTTTTCAAGTCTCCCCCGCCCCGAAAAACCATATTGTTTGAAAAAAGAGAGCAAAGAGCGATAAAAGAAACATGTAGTCGAACATATTACAGTCAAACTCAATAAAAATGAAAAGAGGTAAATGTGGCATTTGGTTTTATGGTGGAACTCTTACCTCTCCATTTGCAGTTGCTTTTTATTTACTTGTTACCTCAGCCTCAGGCTACATGCCATTTCAACTTAGACAGCCCATCAGGATGAGTGGCAAGTGTTGGGAGGTGAACTTTACACACTGAAGGGAGGTAGAGAAGGACTATAAACTTCTTGCCTCAAGGTGAGAAGCTGTGCTCCGCTGCTTTCTGCGTATCTTCCAAATTTCATGTTTTAAAGCAGGTCACAAAATGTTCTTTCACCTTCTCATATCACGGAAAAAATGGGCTTTGTCTTGCAGCAAATGGCAAAATGAGTGTGTTAGCATTGATCAGACAGAGGACAGCTTCCTCATTTTCACCTGCTGGGGGTCAGATTGCCTCAAGTTTCATCATGTCTTAGCGTTCACCTTGACTGAGTCTCTTATGGGAGCTGTAAAAAATATGTCAGTGTTCTGCAGTTAATCATTGGTAGTAAGTGCAAGACCTGTCCATCAATTGAGTGCCTACTTCACAGGATGACTTTCCCTCTGTCTGTCTTCTCTTTATCTACTACAGTCACGTGTGTTTACGGCTCCGGTGCCTTTGATTGTACTCGGCCTCTTGACAAATATAAGGCTGTGTTTGTTTGGCATGAAGAAAGGGACGTAAGAAATTGGAGACAGGATGAAAGACAAGGGGGAATAAAAGAGTTGAAGATGAGAAGGGGATAAGAGTAAAAGGAAGATGAAGACAGTACGTGTACGTTGAGGCTTCTGTCACTGCTAATTACCTTGCATGCCTCATTAAGTACCAAATCCTTACAGAACTGAGCGGGTGGGTGCTGGTGTTGGTACGAGGACTTCAACATGGTAATCAGGAGTGAAAACCATTCTCGCTCTTGCTCTCTGTTGAGTCATGAACAAGACATAGCAGCCTCCTTGACACTGTGTTATTCCTCAGGTCATGGCCAATCAAGCAGGGCCCAGCCCAGCTCCTCCGCCTGTGCACTTTGCTTAAGAAGGAACTCCAGTCCATTAAGCTCATCCTGCCTGTCAGCTCCGGTGCTAAAAGCTTACCTTGGTGACCCATGCCCGCCATTAAGCTGTAGATGAAACTGAATCTGTTAGATATTTACTGCCAAGGCACAGCATTAAACTTATATGGTGTCATATACAAATGCTATATTATCACCTTCTGCCTACATAACACGTAAATGCAGCCATGCTGCTTGAGCATCTGGCCGAGTCGCCTGAGGATTTAGCCGCTGACCTCAGTCTGCAGAATATAACATAAAATACCTTTCTAGCACTATGTTAAAAGCCTACTAACCCATAAACACCGACTGAGGTGAAAAGCAAGTGGTGCCTTAATATTTCCGTAAAATGTTACTATTTTGAGCATGTGAAAAAAATCAAGCTGAAATAGTCCCTAATCAGTGGATGTGGTTGCATGTATTGTGTAAATCAATTTGAAATCACTCATTAATCGTTATTTAACTAATTAGAAGGGATTTGATTTCATAGGGGCAGGTACTGTTACGCTACCATCAGGTATTTATTGGATGGTTGTTTTTTCTTTGGCTTTTGAGATACCTAAAGTCCCACTCCAGTACTATTTTTTTTATTTAAAGTGCTCTCAGTGGTTGTTAAATTGTGATTATTAAGTTTTTATCCAAAATCACCAACCTGTGTCATTTTCAAGGGCGCTTCTTCTTGAGTGCTCCAGTAGCTCATTAGCAATGGGCCTCAGAGTCATGGGTGGCGACAGTGGTGCTTTGCACACTCCTCTTCATGTTAGCTTGTAGCCTAACATTGCCGGTGTAGTAGAAGTGGCAGGTAATATAGGAGCTATTCATCTCTCAGGCACTAATGTCGTTGGGGGGCATTATGAAAGCTAATAATTAGCTTACTTACGAGCATTGCAATCCACTACTGCACACTTGTTCTGCCATCGTCCACTCTACTTCTCAGAGCAGGACACCAGAGGTGGAGCATGCAGTTGTGATGAAGGAAATTCCACTGTGTCTGATCATGCCATTTAGGTCTGCCAGAGGTTCACAGGGATTTGAATGCAGAAATACTCAGAAATGCAATTTTGCAATTAGGTTTCTCATGATATGTCCTCTTGCATCAGAAAAACGTCATATGAACATAAAGACAACATGAAAAAAACATGATTTTCATCGACGTCGGTCTTTAAGGAAATAATTTGACGTCTGCAGCGTTCTGTGTTGGTTTGTCTTCCACCGGATATTTTTTCAAGTAGGGCAGCATGTGATGTAGAAAACATGGTCCCAGACTATGGTGTTAATTAATTTGCAATTAGCTAGACACATGTAGTATGGTATGTAAGCCTTATATCGTACATAATCTTCATACTGAACATTGCTGTAGAATGAACGCCTAACCTGTCAATAGATGTGTACTTCAAACAGTGTTTTGACATTATTTCAAAAGTACATCATGAAGCACCAGTTACCTTGTGATTGATCACAAATTGATCACGTTTAGATGTGTGGGTAGACCCTTTGTCACATTCAGCCGTCTGCACTGCACTTACATACTAATGGTAGATGCCATGTAAAGTACCCATCACCACTGACCCATTTACACATCAGTGGGGTGGTCATTTTTGGGTTAGATGGCCTACTTGCTTAAGGACACTTAAGAGTGTGGGTAACCCTACATGGGATTGAACCTCCAACCCTTCGATTGAGGGGCAATTTGTTCTTAATCTGAACCTTTATTCAGTTTGAGAAGCAGTGCAGCATTTTATGGAGCTTACATGGTTTGCATTGGATGGAAAACTGACATTCATAAAAAAACATGAGAAGAGAAGATTTTCATGAAATATTCACCCATTAAGTTCAAAATGTAAGTTCACTTTAACATGCAACAAGATTTGATCTAATGCCTCTGTAGTTTTCCAAATGCTTTTGATTCTCTCATATTGTTTTATTGCAAGAACTGAATGTAAAACTGTATCCAATACTTTCTGCCCAGAAGACAGTCAGATGACCAGGTGACCCTGATGCTGAGTGGGAAGGCTGATCTAATTACTGTTGTTATGTAAATAGGGGTCGAACACAAGTCAGACAACTGAAGACCCAAGTCTCTTATTATCATACCACTCCAGTTGTGTGTCACTCTGTGTAATACATTGTGGAAGTGGAAAAACTGAAAGCCTAATGTAATCATATACACCGTGAATGTCAATCTTTACTACTGGACATACTACCACTCATAGTGATAATATACAAAGAACAGTGCACTTCCTTTTCAAAGGATGTCAAATCTCAATACCTACACTTCACACATACGCAGGTATAAGCCCGCACACTTAACAACCCTTGAGGTTCTGGCGATAAACAATTTCTAAAATGCCCAATTGAATGTTGGTTTGATGTTTGCCATTAGTAACACGAGCATGTCAATATCCAATCCATACATCCTGCTCAGCCTGCACAGTCAACATCTAATCCTAGATTCTACGGCACCCATGGGTCTAATATTTATCAGCACATGCATGACTGTTTCTGTAAAGATCCCTTACTGTTGCTGCGCAATACAACTGAGGTGACTTTTTTATATGCAGCTCATGATTATGATATACTCGCACAAGGCGTGATACGGAAAAGTATATCCCATTTTTGTTATCTTTACTGCCATCCTGACTGTCTGGGAGCCGGGAGGGACAATTAAGTGAGATTCAACTCATCTTTGTTTGGGGTGACGAAGGGGTAAAGAGGTTACTGTTTTCCACTCACACGCCCCCAGACACACCTGCACCCTGATCTGCACTCTGCCGAATGCACTTTTCTAGCTGCTTATTTGAAGCCTACAGGAAAAGTCTAAATGGATGGTTTCCTCACAATTACAAACAACAGTGTGTTGCAGTTTCTGTCAGAGGTCATCATGCCTGCAGTGTTTTATTTTGCAGCCAGTGAATGTTGCTCCATGGGTCAATTACCCTTTGGCTGTAAAGGAGTACAATTGCTTTGCAATCAGATATAAGTCAGATTTAAATATAACACTGAATGAGGTCAGGTGCTGCCATATTAAGCAGCAAAGAAAACGACTTCAGACTCCTGAAAATGACAGGCTGATTTTCTTTTTTCTTCGTTTTTATCTCTATATAGTGGACTGCATCCTGTAAACCAATGTGATCAACACACCAGCCTTAAGAGCAGAGAGGTATTTTATTGTATTTCTCTGTTTTATCTCGAGGATGATGCTATACTTCCGACAGCTTGGTTGAAGCTCCTGTTAGGATCTTTCAGTATCTTTCAATGTTGGCGCCCCCTATGGACAAAGCAGGGATTTTCACTGTTACCGCCACTGTCATACGTGGCGCATTGATATGAATGATCATGTGAAATTTCAGTAGCGGTGTACGTAATTCAGCAGCGGAATAAATGTAGGGGAAACACTGATGTTGAAAACAACTTACCACTGCTTCTATTGCCACCAATGTTTCCCAAACACCTGCAAAAGCAACATGCTTACACAAAGCTCGTGGTTACAGACCCTGAGTGAAGATGAAGATATGACGAAGATGCAGACACTGGCCAAGCAGCCTTGGTTTGATTTTCATCAACAGGCAGGAACAAAAGCAGTGCAGTTTACTTGTTCTCTACCGTTGCCTTCACAAAAGAGAACTCCTGTGTATGTCCTTCTTCTTTTTTGTACTGATGTTATATTGATCTTGGTTTATGTTGTGAAATGACTTAAGTGGCACATCTGTTCTGTAGCATTGAAAAAAGTGGTATAACCAGCTCTGTAACTTTATCATTTATCTAAAAAGTAACCAGTGGGGTGTAGTACATTACTTTCTGTATACAATAACTACCTTGATACTCTTCATAGAAAATATAATGCTCTGAAAATGTGAGATTTTTACTGTGTTATTGGATTGGGGGAAAAAAAGCTGCAGATAACAGCTCATTCCTTAATTGAGAGCCCCGGCTGTAGAAGAGCAGTTCAGTTTGGAAGGTTAGGATAGCTGATGGCCCGAGTTGATAGTAAACGTATGAGTTTGAATGGTTGTCTGTCTGTATCTGTCAGCCCTGTGATTGACTGGCAGCCGTCCCGAGTGTATCCCCCCCCCCTCACCCAAAGTAAGCTGGGATCGGCTCCAGCTCCACACAGCCCTCTGAGGGTAAACGGTGTTTAAAATGGATGGATAGATGGATGACAGTAGTAAATGGAGAATATGATAAGAGTCACGCTGCAGGTCAAAGCATGTCAAAAAGGGAAGGCTGAAAAGAATAAAAATGCCTACCTGACTACATTTAAGTTAGATTCAGACTCAGTGTTGTGGCTTAAAGCAGCAAGCAAATCTGGAATGTTGTTAAAAAGGATTAACTTTTCATTCAAGTCGTCTGCTGATTATACAAATGTGTACAAGTATTACTTTTCCAGTAGTGACCAACCTTTAAAACTGTCTGAGCAACTTCAGCTAGTTGTAGGACATGTGCTTACCCCCCCTTTTCAGGGCTCCAACCATTTTGGTGTTACTGGTAGGGATGTAAACTGTGAAAGTGGCTCCAGTTGAGAACAGTTTAAGCTATTTTGAGCCATCATTATAATGCGTGTCAATGCTTATTCCTTACTATTGCTTTCCACTCGGTTGTGTGCTTTGCAACACAGTGACGCGACCCATCACAAAAGGCAGCCAACAGGAATGACGAGCAAAAACTTGAAGACAAACTGCTGTCTTAAATAGCATATCCTTACATTAACAACTCTCAATATAGAATGGTATGATTCACTGCTATTGTTAAAATCCACCTGCTGTGTGAGATTGGCAGCTCTACTGCTCAAAGTGTATCATAGACATCAAGGGATTTCTATCCCACAGAGATAATCAGTGTGTTTTCAGAGACTGTACAGATCTAATACATCAAAACAAAGATAATATGTGATTTACCAGCTAAAATTTATGGATACATTTCAATAAAAGAGTGTCATTTCTGACCATGCTGAATATCGATCAATTAGAGACTCTTTGTGCTACCAGCTGACCTGTGAAGGTCCATCTCAGCAGAACAGTAAAGGTAGTAAAACACAAATTCAATTGTGTTGTTGAAAAAAACTGGTTTACCTTTTACAACACAGGAATGTGAAAGAATTTTATAATGCAGGATCTATGATGATGTATAAATAAATCTTATATTTCCTATTTATAGCCTTAAATGCCTTAAAAGACAGGCTGTTTCAGTAGGATGCTTTCTAACTCCAACCCATTGCCAGCCACCATAGGCGGTAAAAAACTAGAAGGAAATACTTATTCTTGACTGACGTATTCATTTTCTTTGGGAGGTCAAATAGCGGCATTAGTATTAATTTCAGTCTGCTTCAAAACCTTCCCAACACTCCTCAAAGGGGTTTTAAATAACACCAGCGATTTGTGCTGCTCCTCCCAGCCAGCGTGTTTAAAAACACAAACTTAAAAAGGGTTGAGGGAGTGGAGGGGGTGATGAAAGATTTAGTGTCACTATCAAACAGCTTGTATGAACGGATGATAAATGGTATCAGAGCCTTTCCCTTAAAGTAGGGTCGGTTAAAGTTTGATGCTCATCTAATCAAATCTACCAACAAAAGTATCAGGTAGACAATCACTGGGCCAACTGTCTGGATCATTTTGACCTTTTTATCAGGTAAAACTCTGAACGTGAACTGAGCTGAGTCTGTAGGTGAGTCATCAGAAATCCAAGGAAACACAAAAGACGTCTGGGAATTCTTCAAAGAAAAAAAGAAAGAAAGATTTCTTTTTTGTTCAGTTTTGTTCAGTTCTTTGTTAATCTTTGATCACATACTTTGTGGCATTGTATTGATTAAAAACTGCCAATCCAAACTGCGAACAATTTAGTCTGACTATTTCCAAAACTTGTCTCTTAAAGTATGCAAGAGTTACATGAACAATCTCGGCAAAAAAAAAACAGACAATTAAAAGTTTTATAAAGGCAAGGTAGTTTTGAAGGCCTGTGGCTTCAGACTGCATTACACTGAGCACAGGTTTTATTTTTCTACTCACTGTCAATGCCTCAGCCTTGGCATTTTTATGACACAGCCCAGAGCTTTCACTCCTCTCCTCACACCTCCTTGATAACATGAAAATTAAACATCGCAGCAGACTTTTCGATCCGTAGACACTCATAAAGCTTGGCCACGTTCATAAAACTCTGCCACACTCATTTCAAAGTTCCTGTAATAAAGAGTTCATAATCTGTCATTAATTGTTGATGATGATTTAAAGTTTAGAGCTAAAGGTTGGAAAACTAATGTTGTTTTTTTTGAATAGCACTGGTATGTTCCAGGTTTGGAAGCTGTATATAATTGGAGACCTTCCAATAAAAGAAAAACAGATTATGATTCTTAAATGAAATTGTTGCGACTCAACGTAAAAGAGACAATTACTAAACCCTCGGATTATACTATAATCCCACTGGATCCGGAACAGCTCCGCTCCGCTCCAGACCGGCAGGCAGATAAAATACGCAAGCATGCAGTGCCCACCAAATCCAATCCACTGCCGTCATTGGAGGAGAAGCTCTCACGATATTACTGATACTAATCACAAGACTGTACGAGATCTCATTAGATCTTGCGTGTTTCCCCGTGAGACATTGAATGAGATCCGCCGATTGGTATATGCAGTGTAAACAGCGGTTTATATAAACACCCACATCCCACAACCCTGGCCTCTCTCCTATTATCGAGCTAAGAACCGTTCAACGTATTGACTTTATTTTATTAAAAAAATAAACCAGATATTTTACTCTGTAGCCGCAAACAACTTCCGCTGCTGCTCGTGCTGCGTTGCACGGAATTGATGCGCTGTGCTCCAGCGTCTGGCAAAAATAGAAGCCTTGCATATCTAAACCGGCCGCCGGAGCTGATCTGCAGCGGAGCCGATCCGCAACGGAGCCGGACGGCAGACGGATTCTGTGGAATGACACAGATTGATCATAATGCTTGCGAATTTGATCCGCCTGCCATGCTGGAGTGGAGCAGACCCGTTCCGGATCCTGTGGGTTTCTCCCGTCAGCTCGCTGCTGTTTGGCAACAGCTATAACTTTCATTCAGCCACTTGCCAGATAACCTAAAAGTTAAAGCTATTATTACTGCTCCACTGTGGTACACACTCAAGTATCTAAAGTAAAACGAGCAAGGAATGCTCTCAAACATGATGCTAACTTATAGCTGAATGCTAATGTTAGTTGCTAATGGTTTACCAAAAATCATGGTCATATGTCCTATGAAAAAGATTTCAAGTATCAATAATCTTTTTGTTTGTAAAATGACAAAAAAAAAATGGTTATGTAGCAACATTTTCAGATAAAGTAGTGTTTATCCAATAAGACATGGCATGCAGCCTCTAATATAAGCTGCCTTTTCTTGGTACATCATTAAAGCAGACCTATTATGCAGATCTGTACTAAAGTAGATACATAAAATGTTACAGTGCTATATAATGTTAAGGACAGTGACAGCTACTTACTTTGTCTAAAGATGGCAAGCTGTTTATGCACGCCACTTCACTGACAACTCCAGTATGAGCTGGATCTAAATCTCATTCATGACTGAACCTTGAGGCTGTTCCTTGAAGACTAGCAGCTAATGTTACAGTAGCTAGCGTATGCTAAACAGGCTAAATTAGGAGCAATGTGGGTGCTAAAAGCTAGCTTTTAGATATTTTCTGCAAGGACACAGTTTTGTTATAGCAAAACTGTGTGAAAAGAAACACTCATACTCTGTGTCTTACTTAATATCACAAGAAAAGCAGGGGGAAAAATGACTTTTCATGCCGAGGCTGAATAGTGCTGTGAGGGTTTTCATTGCCATAAGTGTAAGATTAATAAGAACTTTTCTGAGCTGCAAATCATGCAGAGCTACTCCATAGGTGTGCTGGACTGACATAATGAAAAGTGAAAATGAATGTAAGAGGTATCCTTTCAGCCAACATTATAGCACCCTGAGTTTGAAATCAGAGAATACAGCTCCTGTGATAATATTGTGAGCTGCTTTTGTGGACTCCTTTTCTTTGCGGGTACATTGCATATGGAGCCATGGGCCTATACAGAACTAAAACATCACGAAATTGGTTGGTTTTACATGCTTCCGAAAAATCCCAGCCCCAGTTTCTATTGTGGTGCCTAATACAGATTTTTCCCACCATTCATGGAGATTACTCCCAGGTGTCCAGGTCATTTTTGTTGGTGGCACTCTTACATTTACTCACAATACATATTACTTTCAACTGCTCTGCATTCCTGTGTTTACAATGACAATGACCCTGCCTTTGAAAACCAGTCAGGAAAATAAAACGTTGCCACCAAAAATAGCTCTCGGTCTATCGCACTAGCTATCCAAAATTAGCTTTATAATCTATTGCATGCAGTGGTTTTTCTTTTCTGTAACATAAGCTATGTTTACATGGGAAAAATTCCTTGATCCGATTAAAAATTTGAGGGATCAGAAAATCGGAATTCACTGTTCATATGGGTGCAATATCAAATATACCGATCATGACGTGTGTATACATGCTCCAAGCTTTTATTCAGATTAGAAGTATTTGGACATGCGCAGAGTCGTCTAATTTCGCTAAAACAACCGCAGAAGAAGAAGAGCTGTATTTACGCCTGTGCCGTCAACAAACCAACAAAACGTGGTAGTGGCTCACTTTATCCAATACAGGAGTTTTCCCCCTGTTAAATGTTGTCACTAGATGGCGCCCTTGCTTAGCCTGGCAAGGCCATCCAGTTGCGTGAATCACTTGCTGTTCCTTCCCACAACAGTCTGGACTTCGGCCCATTGGGAGCGTGTATTAGAAATCAGAAAATAAGCGGGCCAATCAGTGACTGTGTTTCCACTGTTACCCGGATAACAGGGAAAGGCAGCCACTGATTGGTCCATGTGTAGATGGTGACATCTAACACATGCTGCCGTTCATTCAGAATGCCGTTAATTCCGCAGTTGACTTTGCAAAGTCGGCAGAAATCGTCTAGACCCGTCGGATTTGAACGAATTCTGAAACACAGTCACTGATTGGCCTGGTTATTTTCTGATTTCTAATACACGCTCCCAATGGGCCGAAGTCCAGACTGTTGTGGGAAGGAACGGCAAATGATTCACGCAACAGGGTGGCCAAGCCAGGCTAACCCTTGCTTACTTATTTTACTGTTCTGGCAAAGGTTGCACTGTGCGTGCAGATATGACATCATTACGCTGTATGTACGCCTTGTTATGTTACCGGAGGAGCAGTGTTATGCCAGAATGTTAATAATGAAACCTCCTGTACTGGCCTCAATAAATACAGGGTGAAGACCGAGTCTGGTAAGAGAGCCAAGATCAGAATTAGTATTTACATGGACGCGTTTTGGAATAATGATCGGTATAAACCACCCCTCTCTATCAGAGTAGAATTTTTTTCCGATTTAACCGTATTGGACCAGAATCTTGCGATTGACATGTTTACATGGCGCATTTTTATTCCAATCAGGTCTTTATTCCGATTATTTTTGCCCTTGCACACACTGAAACACACCAACCAGGCACACCCAATCACACTCAGATCTGCCCTTTCTGTGGCCTGACGGCATACCGCAGCTCTGCCTTTCTGATTCAAGTGTCAACAGACAATGATGAAGCTGTATTAAGGGGCACTTCTGTGGGACGTTTCCTGAAATTCAAAGCAAAATAAATATGACAAACATTCTTTTTAAGTCTCTTATATCCATGCTTCACACTCTGATCAAATCCTTATTGTTCGTTTGAAAGGAATCAGCTGTCACTTGTCACAGCAGTCCACAAGACAGACAGCATCAGTACAAATAATAGACAAAAACGCATTCAAGTTTACAGTGGATACCCATCAGTGGTTGCTGACAGACCAATCCATGTTTCTCTGCTAGATGAAAACCTAACACAGACAGGCAGACAGCGATTTAAAAAGGAAAATCAAAAAATTAAAGAGGCAATTGAAATACTCAACATCTAAACTAAACCATGACCTCAACTCTTCCCCCCTGAAGCTGAGAAAAAACCACCAGAAATTATGGCATTTCATCATTTAAGTACTTCAACTGAATGCTTATTGGAGCAAGTGTAAGCCTATGATACTGCCTTATACTTCCCTTGCTCTCGGCGCTAAGAGGGGTTGTCAGATGATGCAAAGAAAACCCTCCTAAAGGGTAAGCATTAGTGACAGAACGGGTTAGAGAGCAAAAGAGAGCGGCGAGTGAGGGATAAAGAGAGAAGGCGTCTATGAGGTTATTGAGAGAAAAGAACAATTAAGTCTGACAGAGGGCAGCATGGTGCAGGTGATGGCAAGAAAGAAGCCGGGGCTGAGAGGCACTTCAAAGCAAGATTGGTAACTGATTCCCTCGACTTCTCTTCTGCAAATTAAGCATAATGTACCCATTTCTGCAAGCAAGAGAATAAGTCTGCACTGCACACTCAGAGGAGCTAGTCTGAGAGGGCGTAGATTTTGTTGCAATCTAAACAAAGCTGCACATGAGCTCCGCCGTGACATTTTAAGAAAAGCAAATTTTAGAAAACAGCTTAGTTTGACAAACAGGACGGGAGCATCCGAGTGTAAAATGGCATTTTTTTTTTGTACTTTAAACATTCATTGTTAGTGGACTCTCTGCTGATGCTGCTTTAGAGCCCTTTAGGCAGAGTATAATTTGAATCAGTTGTCTGATTAGTACGACCTTGGGAACTGTCTTCATTCCGCAGAGTAACCGACTGCAGCTAAAGATTGGTGTTAAGTTTCGTCAACACTCCTTGGAGCAAGTCTAGAATATGTTAATTAACTCATTGATTGAGGTGGGCGGTTCATTATAAAAGCAGAAGTTGAGGTCTCTGGTGTGGGAAGACAAAAAAAAAAAAACAGTGTTGTGCATATCAATAGCTATGTGAGAAGCTTCTGCAGTCCATATTCTATCACTTCAAGGACACTTTTAGTATCTTTTTCTCATCGAGGCCATACATGCAAAATAGACCAACTAAAATGTTTTTGCCTCTGATAGTCTTGCATTAATTACTGAATATATGGTGCTTTGCAAGTGGGGGAAGTACAACAGGGAGTTTTGCTTTTGAACTCAGTTAAGAAACTGGGTTAAGCCTTTAGCACCAGTGCCATTGCCTGCTCATGCAAACATAAGGACAACAGCCAGCAGGAGAGCTGGCTCTTTATCGAGAAGTTTTGAGCTCTAACAGACACATTCTCACCTATTGTTTCAGATATGTCACTTATGTGAAAACGAAGCACACCTCCTTTTACTATGTGTCAACGGGGTGTTATGTTTTTTATTTCATTTCAACTGATGCTCTTTTTCTCTCTATCTTTAGATTGGCACACTGTGTGGGAGATGGGCTCCAATGTCAAGTAAGAGGTAATTGAAAAGTGCAGAAAACAAATCTTTTCAATCAGATTCTGAAGGCTTTGTCCTCTCGCTGTGCACGTAAATGTGCGATTGCAAAACAAAGCACGTCACATTTTGCATCAGATAGCAGCGCACGGAAAAACACCAAAGTCAGTCTTTGTAGGATTGTCACAAGGCTTCTTCAGCTTGTTTGTTTCCATGCGAAAAAACAATATGAACAGCAAAAGCAAATCAAACGCAGCAGTCACAGAATCCTTCACAGCTATTCTCACACCCAGTTGCTCTGTCTGACTAGGAAGTTGTTCCTTATCACAAAATAAAGACTAGACAGTACATACTGTGCACAGTTATAATGAAGGCTTCTCGGATATGTCACATCACTCCAGTTCACATAACTTTTTTCTAAACACTCAAACAGATAAGCACTCTGACATTTGATTTTCAGCTGTGATTTCATCAGCTGCTCATGGACACTGCAAACCCCTCAAGGCCTACCTGAGTTTCACATAAGGCAAAATGTTTTTTTTTTTTACCTATTTAACTACAGATATATTTATTTGGTTAAATCCCCCCTCATTTTTCTTATTAAAAAAAAAAAAGGATGAAATGTCTGGAAGGGTCTAACTGCTTCTGATATCTGTGGTTACTGCTACTGTATGATTCTATATCAATGTGGCCTGATCAATACCCAGCTGCCAACCTGTCAGACTATAAGACACAGTCAGAATTTTAATCAGTTATTTTTTTTCCAAATGCATAGATGTATGCACATACAAAACTGCAGTCATGTGGTGTGTAACTGCATACTAGTGTCTCTCTCTATATATATTATATATGTGTATATATATATTTACACACACACACGGGCGGGGGGGTACAAAAGACTGAACACCAATAACTAATGCATAAATCTTTCTCTATAAAAAGGTAAAATATGTGCCTTGACTTTGCTTGTTTTTTTTCGTGTATTGTGTGTGTGTTAGTCCGTGCAAGATTTGCCACATAACATAAATTCCATAATGAAAACAAACCATCTTAAACCGCAGACATATTACTACATAATGTAAAGAGACAAGGCGGGAGGCTGAACATTGCTAATTTGCCATCAATTCATTTAACTCCCTAAGCAGCGTGACTACAGCAAATTAACAACCCTATTCAACACTGAATGTTGTATTTTACACCTTTTAAAACATACAACCAATTAGTGTTTTGGAAGCAAACAACATGCACGTTTGTACAGTAAGTGTTTTTCCCACTTACAAGCTTAAAGCTGGCAACATGGCTGTGCTTTGCTTTGAAGTGCACAGTTAAGGGGTTAGTAGAGCCGATTAAAGAGAATGAGAAGGTAATACATGGCAAAGATATACACACAAGCCTTTTTCTTTACTTCGACCATCTGGAGAGACAATGCCTGACAGTAAAGCCTAGCAGAGCTGTGCTGTGCAGCACTAGCTCCATCTGTTGGACCAGGAGGGTAAAACCTCCCAAACATAAATGTACTTCAGTAGGAATGAAAGTGGTTCATTAAGATTGATGACAGACATTTAACTTTAGAAAGCTGCCGCCAAATGTAAAATAAACATATATCCTGGATCAACCCTTGAGACAAAGATGAGGTACTTTCAAATCCTTTTATAATTCCACATTGCAGGAATTTTTTTAATGGTACAAGGCTGTGCGATGCAATTGAATGACTTTCCACAAACATGAACTGTCAAAAGAAACAAAATTATATAAATGCTGAATAATATAACTTAGCATTTGTATGTTTATTTATTTAAGTACTCTTCAGCTGCCTTTCTGAGAAGTCTTTTGCGCTCACTCATCTCTGTTTTATAGTATAAGCTACAAAAGAACAACTACTTTACAAATAAGTTATACAGCCAAAGTAACTCATGTCTCCATAATCCCTGCAGTTTTGGCTAAAGCAAACCACTCCTGCTGTCTCGACCTGATCCTCCTCCTGTTCCTGGCTTCTGCTCCAGTTCAACAGTCTCCTCAAAACTAAGGTAGGTGGTTAGCTGAACTCCTTTAATGCACATACCAGTGAGTCAAAGTGTACGCAAAAAACTGAACGCTGAGTTGCTTCCAAGTTGCATAGCAGGATTTACACAAACCTATTGCCTATGAAGGTGTGTGAGTGAATGGGACATGAAATACAATTGCTTTGAGTGCAGAACATTTAATACCAATTCTTGTGACTTTTATCAAATGAGTATAAAAGGTTTAGTTTTCAACATGCTTTTTTTCCCCTCTGTGGATAATCCCATTTTCATTTATTTATACCACTTGTGGCCTTTTTTAAAGAAGGCCCTGAGATCAAAAGAGCACAGACAACATTTATTTTCAAGTAGTGGTTTATAAAAGGCTTTAAATGGAGCTAAAGTATTTTACCATATCATTATTCAGGACTTGTCAGCTTAGTAAAAAGAAGGCAAGGAGAGGATCCTCGCTCTTTACGTTTTGAGCAGCTCTTTATCTGAGCTTCTGAGGGGATGATCAAGGTCAGGCTTTTTATTACACTTAGGCAGTGGAAAAACCCTTTTGACTGCTTAGAGATGTGACATGCAGGGCAGGTGTTATGAAATGTTCTTTCAATAGCTGTTGATTTTGTACTGAGATTCATAACCCGACTATAAATGCTGCAGCTCACTTGACAGTGCAGTATCATGAATAGTACTGTAAGTTGAATAATGAGAGATTCTTTAGCGGATCAAAAGTCAAGCTGTGCATTGACACTTTGGGTATAGTCTTCATGTGGTACAAGACTGACACATGTCCTCGAAAGCCTTTGGTTTCAGACGGTGATCCATCCTTTTAACCGTTTATACAGTGACTGAGGGACGGGGGAACTAACAAGATAGTGAATAAAGAGCTTACAGCAGAGGTATGAGTAATTGCAGTAAAATTCCCTTATTATTAAAACTTATTATGGTTGACCTGGCTGACCAGTTGAAGCAGTTAATAATTTCAAAGTCTTTGAACAAAATTACAATTTCTCTGGATTGTTAATGAGTCTTGATTTGGTGTATTTGTAAATGCCTAAATCCACAGTCAACCTGTTTTAATCCTGGGATGTCTGTCTTGTTCATACTGTACATGGCTAAGCTTGGTGCTTGAACTCCCTTGTGCTGCTTTTGGTAGGCTGAAAACAACTGATAGCAGATGTACTGCATCTGTTGCCAGAGTGATATAATTCCTCAGAGGAGGACTACTTTTGGACAGTTGGCTTTTTAAGGAGAGAAACTCCCACAGAATACACTTTGATATACATGAAAATCCCAAAATATGTTTCGCTCATATGTAAGGAGTAAGGTGTTAAAACTCTCTTCTTTTTTAGGCAGGGTTTTTTCTGTCATTTTCCAACTTGTGCAAAGAGCACAGAATAAGGTAAGTCAACTCAATTTGATCACTTAAACAACTCTATATCAGCGTCTCATTTAAAACTGCAGGTACAGGAGCTGTCTTCGGAAAATTTATCAGATGCACGACAGAAATCGATGAGGATTGCGTAGCTTTACAAAGCTGTTACACTGTTGTGCAGGTAAAGCCTGGGCCCTGAGAATCACAGCTCAGTTTCCTGGGATTACAATAACAAAACAGTTTATTTAATATGCAAACAATGTGCAAATGAAAGCCTCATCTCAAAGTAGATAAATTACAGAATTAGCCAGTAGGGAGGTGCACATTTCTAATTAAAAGCTGCAGGTGGAAAAATCAGGCTGCACATCTGTTTACACAAATTACAGATGTTCACTCAATTGAAACTAGATATTGTTGTGTGCCCAGGACTGTCTTTTTCACTAATGATTCTTCCAAAGCACAGAGCTGAATTTATGGCTATTTCCAGAGCTTTATTCTATAACTCACAGCGATAATGTACACACAGATGTGTAAACACAGATTTACATCTTCTGCTGTAAGACAAACATCCTGCTTTGCTCACCTGGAGGGGAAACATATCCCCAGTCTGAAGATTTCATGGCAGGACATAAAAGAAAATGAGTGTCTTACTTGTGCTTTAATTGGACATATTGACAAAGAAAAGGTAGGAATGATACGCTCTCAAGTTGGTGTTCAGCGGCTATGGCTGTTTTGCTAACAAGCTACTACAGAGAGTTTTTTGGATGTGCAGAATAAATCCTCCATCCATGTCTGTTTTTTTTTTAATCTTTAATTACAGTCCTGTTTAGAGAGCAATGTTAGATGGGATCTGTGCAAACATTTCTTTCTTTCATATGTAAATGAAGCATGTGAACAAATTTGCATGTAGTGTGCAAATGATGCTTGCCAGGGTGTGTGCAGAGAGGCTTGGCCACGGCTAAGGGCACAACATAACAGCTACTTGAAGGTCTCTGTGAGCGCGGTGCCTCAGTTTGGTTAAAACGTGTTGAAAAAAAAGGTCATTATGCTTTGTACAAATTGGTTAACAGGTCATTAACAAGCTATTTAGTTGCATATAAATGTGGAAACTGTCATCCTCCAAGCTTTTTATTGGTCCATTCACAACAATGGGCTCTGGTTACATTATCTTCTGACTCTGGGCACACAGATAAGCTGCTATACTGCAACGCTTGTGGTTTTAGGGGATTGTGCACTGAAAACCGCAAGACAGCTGGTGTTTCAAAATGTGTTTTCTAATATCTCTGAGCAGCTGAAAGTGGCAAGGGACTGTTTGTTCACTTCAATGGCCACTAGATGACAGAGCCACTTTGTGGGCCATACGCAGCCTAATTAGTCCCTGTCCTCCTCTCCAGAAGGGACTGAGCTCTATTAAAGAGAAGATAAATGACTGGAAAAAACACATCAAGAGTCTCTAATGTGTAAGATGATGTCGGTTCTTTGGACAGGTGAATCTTAATCAGCCATACGAAAAAAAAAATATATATATATAATAAAGACTCCAGTTAGCTCAGATCAGTGTGTTTACTCATATCTTCAAAGAAGTGACACAGTATGCAGCCAGTAGATGGCATTACTGAATCACTCCTTAGAGACCCTAATGCTTCTTTCATGTCAGAGTGTCATATCTGTTCACAGTATCTCAGGTCTAAGTCTCCTTTACTCAGACTGACTTTATCAATAATGAATAACACTGAACCCTTTTTTATTATTATTTATGAGGGGATAGTTAGAAATTACAAAGGAAAATACTTATAATTGGCACGAGTTTATTTGAAATAAGAGTGACAGAATAATAAGCAGCTGGTTCACTGAAACTTACGTCCTAATACTAATACTTCCTAATGTTATTTCTGTGATATGGACTAAAACCAGTGCTTAAAGAGCCAAACAGGTGCCGCTACTTTTCTTACTCACTTTATGACATGTGTATTAACTTGGCTGAAATTTGTAAATTGTTAGTATTACACTCAATAGTTCCACATGTCAAAGGGAGTTCATGTTCAGATTACTGTATGTGTACCATTACAAAACAAATGTAACATTAAAACTACACAAAACACCAGAATAAAAAAAAAAAAAAAACTTCTGAAACACGTGGAAAAAACGTGAGGTGCCAAAAGATAATGCTGACTTCTACAACACGCATGTGTCACACAAACCTAGAACCTCTGCATCACTATGCATTTATCCAATTTCTCACCAAGTGATATAAACTATGCGCAGTAGTTTCGGTTAATTTCTGGTTACAGTAGCTTGCTGTATTGCCAAATCCAAGAGCAACATGTAACACCATAAAGGAATGCAATCATTGTGCAGTGCACCTCTACTTATGTTTTTTAGGTACTTTTATGGTTTGCTGAGAGAAAGGGTAATATAGATATGACAGGAAAGGGGACTTGCAGAAAGGTTGGAAAAGTCTCTGTGCACTAAGGGGTTAAATTCTAAAACATCAATACCAGCAGTAGCAAACACTACAGGACATTTCTGACAACCCGTTTAATACATTATGTTGTAATTTCTTCTTGTGTTTGTTTGTTGCAGTTTCCCTCGTGTTCTCAGTGTTGAATTCGTAAGATCAGTTTGCAGTGTTTCCTATTATATTTTGTAGTTCCGTCTTCTTGTGTGTCTAGTGCAGTTTAACTTCCTGTGGTTTCCCTCCTCAGTGATTGTCTGCACCTTATTGTCTCACCTGTCTCTCGTTGCTTGTTACATAGTGTATTAAGTCCTTGTGCTGCCTTCACTGTTTGTCAGATTGTTGACAACCTCATGTCTTTGTGGTTTCCCAGTACCTTTTTGTTTCTTGACAGATATACGCTCCCAGTGTTTTTGATTAACTGGCTTTGGATTTTTTTCTGTGGGACTTTTTCAGAGTATTTTTTTGTGTGTTTTTATGTGCTCTTTTTTTTTAAATCACAGCTTGTCAAGATATATATGTTTCATAGTTGTCATATCATAGCATAAAGCAGTCTTGAAAAAGTCAAGGTATATGCTCAAAGTGAGTCCTGTGTTGCACAAAATCATACCCAAAGGTGACTTGAGGTATGAGCAAGTTTTGCAAAAAAAAAAAATAATAATAATGATACAGTATACATATTTACTACAAGGAGTTTTAAAGTGGTTGTGAAACAAGGTAAATACAATCAGTACCAATGTAATGATACCAAGACACGAATATTTACTTAAACATGACAAAAAAACAAACAGTTGCCTGCTGCCAATCTGTGGGAAGAGTGTTTTCCATAAAAAGTGCTGTCAGGCAACTGGAAGTATCCTTTCTAGATCAGCAAAGCGATAAGACACACTGTTTTGTCCACCAGGGCCACCCTAGTCGACACAAAGGGAAATTTCCTCACAGTTGTTTTGACCGCAGTTTTTGTTTCCTCAACTGAATGTCTTTAACAAACGAAGAGGTAACCATGGGATCCTGTCTGTTGATGATTTAACAGTTTTTGTTCACAGCGTCTTGATAAATGTTTCCCTGCTTAACTAATTCCACACTACAAAACACAATGGCTCGACAGAGTTGGCACCGCGGCCTGTGCCACAGTCCCCTCAGCATTTGGCGATGCTATCACGCCCAGCCCTCCCCTCGTTGATCAGAGGCAAACTTGCCGACGCCACTGTGTCGCATTCTGGGGATAGCTGCACATAGGGACGCTGTGATGTGCCACCTGGCCCCTGGCCCCGTTGGTCAGGAACTCTCCCTGACCTCTCCATTAAAACTCGTTTGCCATTGAGAGCCACGTCAGGGAGAGTCTCGGAGGACCACTTGTGTGCATTCTCGCCATGATGAGGACAGACCAGAGGGAGATTGCCGACACCTTTTGGGGGAACCATCGCCTGCCTCATACTCTCAATAGGCTCATGAAGCCGCCTGGCCCCAAGAACTACACAGTTGTAGATCAAAGATTGTCCATTTGGGTTGCAGCCAACAGACCACTCTGTGCCTCCTCGCCCCGATGATGATATATATACACTCCTGAACAGCGTGCTGTCTGGCAGATGCAAAGCCAGAAAGATTTGGAATGGGGTAATTGTTTAACCTGAAGAAGAAGTCTGAGATATTCTAAAATAATGTAACAACTAAAAAATGTTCTTAAAGTTTTACATGCAAAATAATTTCTGCGCAAGATCAAGTCATAAACCAGATTAAATAACTATTTATAATACGCAAATATGATTCACATTACACCGCATCTACATGCCTCAGACAAAGCTGTCCCCTGGTTAGAGTCCCTAAGAAGTAATGAATTCTTCTTTGTCTCAGCACCCCCTCCTCCCATCAAACTCTATTACTGCTGAGAGTTGTAAGTGTGAAACAGGTGTTTGGCTTGTTTTTCTCATTCAATCACCTTCTCTAGACTCCCTCTACAACCAGACACAGCATCTACACTCACAATAACATGTGCTATTAGACCTCACACCATGTTTGTCTGACTAGCCCTCAGCAAAATGATAATATTTGTCCAAAGAGCTGAGAGAAGATGCTAGAAAGCCCCTGACACTTGGTCTTGACTGGCTGGAAAGACACTGTCTCCACCTGTTGCAGGTCAGGGGCTAATGCTCTGAGGTCAAAGGTTGTTTCCACAAGGCTGGTTTGAAACTCTTGCTTTCTTTCCCTGCAACAGTTCCCACCCTGGGTGCTGAATGTTTAAATCAACAGCTACGACTAATAAGTAAGATGTACTCTGTGAGTGGAGAGCTTAAAATTTTATGCATGCAACTCCCATTGCCGTCATTAGCAACTCTTCAGGCGGTGCCTTCGTGTCCTCCGAATAAGGAATAATATTTGAAGTTTAATTGCGTCCGTTTAAAAATGATGTGCAATAAAATTGTTACGCAAGATGGGAGATGTACTGTTATAAAGCTTAAATGTCGTCACATGAGTTTGCTGTATAATCTCCTGAGCTTAGTTTCAGTGTCAATTGTGGGAAAGACAATGTGAGCTGGCAGCACAACTGATAAATGGACCACATTAGACTAAAAACAACTGTTGTGCGGTCACTGGGCTCCCAAAGTCCTCGGCTATGTTCAACAGAGCGATGTAATGAGCAGAGAACTAGGCCATCATATAACACATCCCCAAATACCATTGACTTGTAAGGCTCGTTTTAATGGTACCAGGGACCTATGCCACTTTTAGCTACATTTAAACTCCGGGATTGTACACCTCAGAGGATTCACAAGTATGGTCAGAGGCTAATTAGCTTGAAAAACAATAGCTCCCTGATCACCATTCCATTGTGCCCCCCCCCCGCATTGTGCGGCAGATCTGATTACAAACTTGAGATAAACATGGAGCTAAATTAGATGTGCAGTTGTTGCCATTGTCCCCGATTTCTGATACCCCTGCGTCCTTTGTAAGCGGAATGCGTGAGCCAAAGCGGACGAGCCTGTAAGAGCCACCAGTCCCTGATGGAGTATAAATGTATGGTAAGTGACAGGAAGGGAGAGCTGATACAGTCGCTCTGCTCTCTGCGGTCACCTTCTCCTGGCAGGGCCTAAGGTAATTAGGACCAGGATCACAGTCCAAGTAGTGGGCTGCTCAAGACAGAATATTAATGTAGCTTTGATGGATGAAGTCAAAAGTGATTTCTTGCAGCAGAGCGTGGGTTGAAAGCCAGCTGGTCTTGGGTCACAGAGCTGGATGGTGGGCAGATGCTTACAGGCCCTCTTAGCCTCTGCTGATGGAGCACAATTGATTAATGCACCCCAATTAGGGAAACATTAAAAGCCACGTTTTCCAAAGCACAATTCAGTGTCACATAATGCATGAGGGGCATTTTGTGTATTCCCTGGCCAGTACTGATTGGGGCAGCTCACTTTGCATGGAATCCACACTTGGCAAATGTCCACCACATTAACTGCCTGGTATGTGGACTGTTTATTCTTAATGGTCCAGCTTTTAGAAACAACATTGTTGCGGGCATTTAGATAAGAAGACATCCATGTCAACAACATGGATTAACGGTATTACTCCTTTAATGGCTAAAGAAAATGTTTGTATTAAAGCATGTGGCACACTTCAACTTCGAGTCCTTGAACTCAACTGATCCTGGCGCACAGCTGTTAGTGTGTCATGCCTGTTTTGTGACTTTTATCCAACTTTCCTCGCAGCAATCATAAACTTTATATTTTTATTGGTATTTCAAGGTTTATGAATTTCCCCATCAGCATACCTCTGAGTTTAAAAAACATAACGCCATATGATGATTTTGGCAACTCATAAAACTAAAGACATAAAACATTAGCAAAGCAAGTCTCTTCCTCTTTTCTCTATAAATGTGGAAACATTTATTACACAGTAGACCCGTCAGGCTTGGGCTTGAACCAGCCTGACATTTTATAGCTTTAAATCATTTTGAAATAAAAACAGTCGTATTAGTCATGCCTCGTTTGCCTGACATTCCTGTCGACTGTATCAGTGTCAGACAATGTGCGCAGTGCCAGTGAACAGTTAACTTTGTTTCAAGCTCAGCTTAACAAACCGGTGACTATAATCTTTTTAGAGGATTTTTCTGAATATAACCTCATTTAAAACAGCCTGTGTCTCTTTTTTGTAGTGACTTTTGAAAAGCACGCTTGTTCTTTCACCAGACTTTCTATCCGGGCTGCAGACTACGTTACTGATTCCCGTACGTGATCCACAGCCTCCCGGCGGACATGCAAGGGGGCCAGGGAATGTGTCCTTGTTACTCACGAGTAAAGTCTGTTGAGGGCTTGTAACAAGAAGCCCTGAGCTGAGACATCTACTGGCCTGCCTGATAGAAATCCCCAGACTTTCTTCAAGGGGAGAGGCAGCAGGAGAAAAAAACTAAGGATAAAAAGTGAATCGAAGCATTGATATAAATGTTAACAGTGGCAGTCACATCACCCGAGGTGCACAGAGTTAAGTCTCTGTCTATCCAACAGGACGCAACTCGTTTCATCGCAAAAGTGCAACCATGCTGCTCTACGTGACAAGTTTCATGCCTTCTCATACCATATAGTGTTAAATTCATTATTTTTTTAAGTATAGATTTTTAAATAAAAGCAGTACAGTCTGCATATGAGTTATTCAGCTGCAAGCGTGACTGTGCATGTAGTAATATCTAAATTCACTCGACTTTCAAACTTCAGACACTACGTAATGGAAAAACAGTTATAATTTACTCCTATCAGAGATATTCTTATCATATGACAAAGTGTAATTGATCATGTCCCCGAGGCTCTCCCCTCTCTAAGCTCCAAATGTGTCTTAAGACGAGACAGGGTCAAGGCCAGGGACAACTGCGAGGCGCTTGTTAAGTGTCAGAGGCTCGTGCCGCTGGGACCCCTGAGCCATTCCAGGCATCCAGCTCGAGCAGGCCCCCTGCAGCACGCCTGGGGGGTCCTGTCCCATGCCGTCCCCTCTCATCCATTGCCGCCATCATATTTTGTCTAGGTCTCTCCACACTCCCAGCTCAAGAGGCTCTTGATTGTATAGAAACCAAAAATAAACAAATCAACAAAACAAAAGTGGAAAGGTGGACAAAGAGCGTGCTGCGTAGGACAGAGGGGCTTTTCCATCTGTTTGGAGCTGTCAGCTCTTAAGCTTTGGAATGACTCCACTCACTGATGCTTAGCCACACACGCTGCTTACTAAACTCTGACTGAGCATGTCGTGTTTTCACTGCTATGATACAAAATAAGTGAGATAGCTGAGGTTGCTTTAGATCACCTCAACGTGCTTTTATCTTATCTTCTGCGATAATTGAAATACTGGCACTGCTGATGGAAGGTGTCTTTTTTAACCTGCCAACTGCTGAAATAAAAACAAACACTAAATGTCTGACATGTAATATGAGAGGGGATTTCTGAATCGTGTTTTCATGACGATTTATGTTTTAGGGTGCAACATGGGCAGGACATAAATTATCCATCATGGAAACCCCGGACAGGTTTCACATCGTTCACATACAAAAACAAATCTCGCATCTCCTCATAGATCGGACTGAGTGATTAATGCGATTATTGATTGAAGCATTGAGCATAAACACAGCTGAATGTGTTATCTCTGCTCGCACGTTTTGTCACGGTTTCCTTTCTTACATCTCTGTTAGCAAAACGATGGGATCTCTCAATAAGATAATACAAGTCATTGCGTGAATTGTTGCTGACACACTGCAGTGTTGTGGATGTTGCCATAGAAATGGAACGGATAGTTTGGTAACACTATACTTGACGCCTATCTCTACAACGTATTATAAATATTTGTATATATATATATTTTAATATGCTTTTCATTTATAACAAGCACATTGGGACGAATACGATTTTTTTTGTGAGTAATTTAAACTTTTGGTAACACTTTATTTGACACCTCTCTCTATAACGCATTACAAATATATGTATAATGCGTTATAATCACATTATATCACTGTGTAACTATAGTAAACACTCATAAATGATCATAATGCCTGATAGCAATAATCATAACAAATTATATATCATTTTATCATGATTTACAAGGTCAGGTATTATAATGTGTTATAACTGTTAACAACTCACTGACAATGCCCACATAGATAATGCATTATACATAAATTTATGATGTGTTATAATTTGCTTATAAACTTGAATAACTATCATTGTAAACACTCATTAATTATCATAAGGCTTTATAACTATAAGCAAAACACATTATAATATCTGATTTTATAAGTCATGATAAAATGCTTTATAATGTGTTATGATTATTGCTATAAAGCATTATGATCATTTATGAGTGTTTATAACTATAGTTATACAGTGCTATAACATGATTATAACACATTACAAATATATTTATAATGCGTTATAGAGATAGGTGTCAAGTAAAGTGTTACTGATAGTTAAAAAAAAACCCAATAATAATGATAGTAGATGAAGTGGTTGCAACACCTGGTGCAAGATTCATTCTTGAACATATTCCTTTTCTTGTATTCCCTAAGCAGATTAACACAAAGTGTCACTTTTGTGATTGCTTCAGAAAAAAGACTGATTTGAAAGTTTTGGAAGTTTATCTCTTAAGGTGTGGTGCTCAGGATCAGGAGTTCAAGAGCCATCCAAGTGAATACTGTATTAAGTTTCACTTTTTAATCTCCTGATGATGGATTGCTTAATGCTCAATTCCATTAAAACTCTGAACACGACTCACCCAGAAAAAACTTGAGTATCTCTGCCAATTGTGCATTAGTAACAACACGATCCTTAACTTTGTGAATGAAGCGTTTGTAAAAAGATTTGTTTATTTGCCGCAAAGGTGTCAAGAGAAGATTTACTGCTTGTAAATTGAAACCTTAAACTTGATTTTAGTCTGAAAGGATGTTGATTTCTATACAGCAGCAGACTGTATGTAGGACAACAATAAAGACTGGAGAAATCAATGAGTAAAAGAGAAGATTGATTACCCGTACAGACAGATAGTTTCAGGTCATACTCCGCCTCAGCTTGATGCCGTACAGAGTGTGGAATCTTTAATGAAGGGTTATCATGCTCCATGTTTGTTACCAATGCTGCACACCTGGTTAAGACCCCTCCCACTCATTTTCAGGCCTGCCATTATTAGACACCTGCTGTTGTTCTGTTTTTTGGAGTGACTCAAGAGCATTACCTCAAGAAAACGGCGCAGACATTAATGAGAAAAAGTAAGGAGGGCACCCTTGCTCTTGGCACATTAACATCTGGCTGTAGATTTTTAGAATTACCGAAGCATGAGAGCATTGTGCATTGTGCTCCTGATGATTGTTATCAGTGCAGATAGTTTGTTTAATAGCGGATATGGACAAGTGTTTTTTTACAATGTTGTTTACAATCCATATGAACACAATAGATCCAGCTGTTCAATACGAGGCTGTTGAGCGATACGGATATGGGCCGTAGACTGTTGCCCTTTACTTGTCGTGACTTTCTTCATTGCTAAAACCTTTTTTTACTGCCGGCCAACTCAACTACTAATCAAGAGGCTTTTGAAATGAGAGAAATGTCAATAAAGCTGCTGACGACAGGCTTCAAACACTGTATTTAATATTGACTCAAAAGGTCGATCTCGGGAGTGCTGGGGGGCTGCAAAATCTATCCACAGGTCCCTGCATCACAGAACAGCTTACATGCACATTAGAAACTCTCGAGCCATTTGCAAAGGAGTGATTGGTGGACATTGGTGGAATCATTCATGCACAAGCCAGAGTAAGATTGCACATATTTTTCTTTTACCTCAAAGTTGTATGGGTTTTAAGTTCACGTACCTCAGTCAGTCTAAAGATACCACTCAAACTCCAGACCTGCACAGAACCCAGTGGCTTTTTAGACATATTTGGACAGGGCTGCATGATATACTGTTCCAGCACCAGTATGAAGTTGTGCAAATATACAATATTGGCACTGGCTGTGTAATGTAACGTAAAGCAAACTGATCATAACTATGATGTGAAAACATTTGTCTGCTTAAAACTAAAGGGAAAATCTCATGGCTCACACTGTAATGACTTATCTAAGAGGCCTGCATGACATAAAAAACATGTAATGTGCAGTATTAACTTTGTAGTATGTTTCAAAAGTGCACGAGTATTTTTTTGTTGTACCTACTGTTTTCGTGTTTCGCACAACACCTACATGCCGACACGACAGACTGCTATTCATATTGGAGCGTACAAATCTCTGCACACCTGTGGTCAAATCCAGGGGACATGCTCGGGTCGCTATTTACTATTATGGGAAGTATAATAGTAGTAATGGGAAGAACACATTAATGCGAATATGAATCTGAAAGTCAAGATCATTGCATCCATTTGACTCCCAAATCAAGATACTGCTTACAAGGAATTGCTTGACATCATTAATTTTGAGCTCATACAGTTTGAAAATGCAAATTAGAGGAATTTTAAACATGCAGTCAGAAATATAATTAATTGCGACTACTTTTAAAATTCTGAGATTTTCTCACCACTTAGAAAATTAGCTGTTTGACAGCTCCAATTTGCGCTAATCAATCCAAGGTTAGCCAGTGTTTAATTAGCTTCACCTGACTGTTTTAAAAAAACCCTGGCTGTTTTATCCAGGCCCTTCTCCAAAACTTATAGGCGGAGTAAAAAAGTGTTGTTAGTTTGCAGAAAACATTTTTTCTTCTTTGGTGATATGTATGCAAAGGTCTTGTCTCAGCCTGTCGAGGTTGTATTTTGCATAACTACTTATTAATTATACATTATCCAGATTTTTCCTTTCACATCTATGTAATTAAGTGTGGGTTGGCATGTATAAAATTAGTTTTTACTCCAGCCTTTTTTTAGGCTGAATAAATTTGTCATGGAGTCCAGCTGGAATGCTCACACTTCCCCGTGATCTCAAAGCTTTTGGTTGAGAATTATTTATCAATTCACTTGAGGCTGACACTTCAGTATTAGAGCTTCTTGTTAATTTACTCTCTATCTCCTCTGACAGAGTCTTTTGTATTTCAGTCTCAGATTCACTGGTATCCCATTAAATCTGTTGATCTTTTACAGAGTCATATGTAGACGATATAAAACCTTAAAATATTTCTCTTGAATTCCTAATCTATTGTCCAGTGGTATTTGAATGGCATTTTACAGTTTGTAAAAGTAATGACAGTAAAATGTCTTCTAGTTTTTTGTGATCACCTATAGGTCTGCTTTGGTTTTGAGACCTGAGTTTGCAAATGTTTAAATTTTAGGGTGGGTTATGTGGGATTTCTAGAAACCCCAAGAGTTTCTTTCATTCTATCTGTGTGATTTTTATGAAGACATTTATTTCTGCCTTATTACGTACTTTTTTTTTTTTTTGACACAGTCTGCCAAACAGAAATTACGAGTATTTGACATGAAGTCATCTCTTCAATAAGCATGTCATCATAAGTGCACAGTCTTACCAAGGGGGGGGAATGAAAATGATGAATAATCAAAACATCAACTTTAATTGATGTTTTGATTCATGGAAGAAAAACAGACACACAAGGCAAGAGTAAACTATTTAACTGGAATGACATTTGCTCTTTTATTGTGAAAAGTATGATTGAAGTTTGAAAATGAGAGTACACGAGTTCAGTTGTAAGTGTTTTGCATGGACATGTTGTGCCTATAAATCACTTTCAGGGGAATTAGCTGTGACTCTCATTTCCCTTTAAACTATACACTTCTCTTTTATAAGCACAAGACATGTTTAGACAGCAGCAAGGCACTGTCCCCAGCCCCTGAAGCATCACTGGCACTGATGGCACACAGGTGTTTTGTGAAGATGCCAAAAAAGACGGCACTTGGAAATTGAGTAATGCTTTAATTTGACCATCACAACAGCATGAAACAATGCCCCGGCCTTTCTCCTTTCAGTCCACTCAACTGATGGGTAACTGGAGTCGTCTTGAGAGGAGCCCCGTGCAGCGTTATCAGGGGTGGGAAGGGGGTGTGAACAGCGGCAGAGATGCCTCCGAGGTCAAGCCTTTAATAATGATTACAAACTGGAGCTGGCTGCTGGAGCGACAGGCTGCAGCTGTGGGCCGGCCGGCCTTTGAAGTGCCCCCCGCCTGTTGCAGGGTCCCAGGCCCCCTCGCATGAGGAGACGCTGGAACTATGTGGCTGCCTGTGGGAAAGAATGTCATGCGACGCCAGGGTGACGGAGCGCAGGATGGCTGAAGGGTGGACGGCTCGACTGGTCCTGCTGGTGGGCTTGTGGGCCGAACGCCGGGGACCGCTGGGGATGGTACAGTGGGATGAAGAAGACAGAACAAGGCTGCATGCATGTGCTGCTGTGGTCAGAGTTCTTTAGTTACACACACGGGGTGGGGGATTGAAGTGGCTGCCAAAAAAAACACACAGACTGTGAAAGACACAGTGCCAGCACTACATTTAATGTGATCCTATTTTGTCCATTTAGGATCAAAAGCCATATATTTTTCAGAAGTCAATGTCTTTGCCACTCATCGTACGAAAAGTGCTAACTTATAAGTTGTGAATTTTTGTAATGGTGTACTGGCTGGGATAGGTTTCCTTAAAATGGATTGATCTTAAGGGAGAGCAAAAGGCTGAGACAGTAAAATAATTGTTAAACCACTTAAATCATCCCTAAGGAAATTCTTTTTCAAGTCAAAGCGCTGTTGAAAACTTGAGTTTGAATTGTCTAAATGTGTGTAATAGCAACATTTTCTGTGATTTAAGTTAAAAAAACAAAAAACAAATGGCATTTAGGTCAATAAAAATGACTAAAATTGACACATTATTTGCCCTACCATCCCCTCAATTCTTCACCGTAAAAAAGTTAAAGTATCAAGCTAAAAGAAGAGGCTAAAAACATTATTTATCTGTGTGACAACTTTGAGATTTACCTGTCAAAACCACTTTACTCCAAAATGTTTTTTTTCAGTGGATAAAAAAATCTGTATATGAGTGCAACTTCCAAACAGAAGACATCAAATCACATATACTTCTGACATGATTATATATGGCATTGAGAACGAAAAAAAAAGGAAAACTTCCTCTAACCTCTGTTGCAAGATGCTTCGAACATAAAGTTCACGGCAATGATTTATAGCTGATCCACTTAATGACTACCTGCCTGATAATGCTCCAGGTGAATTATTATGCACACATAGTTTCTAACCATATCACTGCTACTTATCAAATTATTACTTGGCTTGCAAAATGAACATTGACAAGAAGAGTACCATGATTTGCTGCGCTGATGATGCCAATGGGGAAGTATGCAATTATTTAATTGTCCTTGTCCATCTGTAGAGGTGTATTTAAATACAGGATTGCAGTTTGGAGTGCACTTAAGACTTAGTGCTCATCGTATTACTTTAAAGATGGTAGAGATTTCACAAACGTATATTTTACAAGGTAAAGTTATGAGGCGTACTTTTACACTGCGCAAGATAGCTCTTTATGACCTGAGGAGCAGCAACCCCTCATCCTCCTCCATCAATCCTTCTAGATAAATAAATAAGTCCAAAAATGAATGAATAAATTAATAATTATCGTTACTTTTAAATGAATAATTAAATGGTACCACTTATTTCCTTTTTTCATGTTGCCTTCTATAAACAGGAACAGAACAATTACATCATTTTACAACATTAGTTTGATTTGTCACACTGAAGTTCTCACTGAATCTATTCTAACTCTCAACAATTAATACTGGCACAATACCCTTACTACCAAATACAAAACAAACCAGCCCCTGCTTCATAGACTAGCAAAATCCTCAGCTCATACCATCCTCTTTTTTAACCATGCATTCACTAGGTGATCAAGAAAGCCCCTTCTGATTAAGGACCCCTCTCAACCTCTCTAGCACTCATTTCACACTGCCACCAAAACGATAGAACCAAGTCCTCCAAACCCAGGAATTTTTTTTTTTTTTAAATTCTTTATTCCCCACAAAAACCATCCTGAACCACATTCAACAGACATTACATATTTACTTGCTGTTTTAGCAGTCTAATTTTATGTGCTTTTACTACTTATCTATTACTTAAAATAAGCATGGTGACTTTGAAACCATATAACATGATACATATAAATTTTGTTAAAGAATAAATTTATCTCAGTCATGATTTGAAAATAGTGTTGAAAATAAAATCCAGCTTTAAACAGAATTTAAAGGATTTTATGTGAAATTATCCTTTAATCCATTTTAAATTTTCAGTGTTTTATACTCGCTGCATCAATTGTGGGCTTGATGATGCATTGGAGTGGCCTAGAGGAGACTCCTGTGGAGTCAGAACTCTGGAGGAATTATATGTCCCACCTGGCCCGAGCGCCACAGGATCTAGCAGGAGGGGCCGGAAAATGTTGCTGTGGTGAGGGATATCTGGGTCATCCTGCTTCGACTGCTGCCTCCAGGGCCGTATCATAAATGGATGCTTCTGGAAAATACAATCAAAGGTAGGATTTGTAAAATAAGCTCAAAGAGAAGGGGAAAGCTAAGTGTTTGAATACAAAATCAAAATACAAACTTTCATTATTTTTAAATGATGTCTTTTTTTTAGAGTCAAATATATTTTAAAGCAAAGAGGGTCAATAAATATTAGACATGACATCATTAAAAAAAAAAAACCCATAGAGATAGTATTTATTTTTCCAATTAAAGAAATCGCATTAAAAAAGAAGAGGACGAGCAGAAGTGAGCACAGCGCAGTCATGACATCATCCATTCCATAACAATGATCCATTGTGTTGTATAGGCTGCTGCTCTCTGGCAATGGCTGTCCATAAGTTTTATTTGGCATTTTATAGCTGTTAGATCACAGCAGCTCAGTGCCATACTCAGAGGTGGCCACTTGCTGATAGTCCGCCGAGACTGCGCTGCAAAACTGAGCCAAGAGATGGTGGGTGGGGTGGTGGTGTCGGGGTTGGGCGAGGGGATTGAAGGGGAATCCACTTTTGGCAAGCGTTATTGACAGAAAGTGAGAGTGTGAGAGGGAGGGATGAGAGAATATGAGAGAGAAGAAAAGAGACCACCACGGCTAGCGCAAGTCTGGGGTCTGAGCTCAGTCTCTCTGATGCAGAGCCGGCCTTTCATCTCCTGCACAAGGATTTCCGTCCTATTTCCCCGCAACAGACGCGTAATTGCTAAATGACAGTGGAGCGAAATGGCTTAATACCCTGCAAACCCTGGCTTCTCTAGAAAGGAAGAAAAAGGTCTATTGCTGCCTCTCATGTCATGCTTGTTAGAAATAGATCCCAGGCTTTCAGAGGTGGTGTCCAGGATGTTTGAGATGATTGAGGATTTTAAAACATTCAGTGAAATATTAGCAAAGAGTATAATGTCATAGGGTTTCTTTTTTTTCCCTTCTTTTATTTCTGTCCAATCATAATGGCTTCTGTGTTACTTCATACAATTCGCATTAGGCACCTGAGCTTAACTCTAGCGGTAAAGCTGTGTTTTATTGCCGTAAGAAAGGATCAGTAAAGCCTCTGGGTGATTTTGCCAGAAAATTGAAAATTATATTTTTGACAGACTATGACTCAACAAGGGTTTTCAGGTCCTACTCATTATGTTTGTGACAGTAAAAAGTAATCTGAAATAAATGAGCTCAAAATTACTGGATGATGACTTATTGAATGCTTTACAGTCCATATGATAGTCAGGATAGCCAAGAGTAAGAGTAGTGGACACATGCAATTTTAGCCCTGCATTTAACCTAATGCTAAATACATTTGGTTTTTAAAATAGAGCGGAAAAAACTCTGATGGTTCTTAAAATGTGTGGGCATAATACAAAAGCCCTTCACTGAACTCCTGAAGCTGATAGACAACAGAATCAGACTCTATCCACCTATATTCATCATGAGTCACTTCACTTAAATGAATACCTTAGATGCATCAAGTCTTATTTAATTTGAAACCAGAAACTAAAACGTCAATATTTTGAGTTTGAACTCTTTAAAAGATACTTGGACTTGTGCAAATAAAACCCTGAAATGCATAGAAAACATTTTTCTAGAGGCTAATGCTACCATGAACTAGGGCTGCACAACATCAGAATAAACTAAAATTGCAATTTTTTTCAACCCTGTGATATACACTCACCGGCCACTTTATTAGGTACACCTGTCCAACTGCTCGTTAACACTTAATTTCTAATCAGCCAATCACATGGCGGCAACTTAGTGCATTTAGGCATGTAGACATGGTCAAGACAATCTCCTGCAGTTCAAACCGAGCATCAGTATGGGGAAGAAAGGTGATTTGAGTGACTTTGAACGTGGCATGGTTGTTGGTGCCAGAAGGGCTGGTCTGAGTATTTCAGAAACTGCTGATCTACTGGGATTTTCACGCACAACCATCTCTAGGGTTTACAGAGAATGGTCCGAAAAAGAAAAAATATCCAGTGAGCAGCAGTTCTGTGGGCGGAAATGCCTTGTTGATGCCAGAGGTCAGAGGAGAATGGCTAGACTGGTTCGAGCTGATAGAAAGGCAACAGTGACTCAAATAACCACCCGTTACAACCAAGGTAGGCAGAAGAGCATCTCTGAATGCACAGTACGTCGAACTTTGAGGCAGATGGGCTACAGCAGCAGAAGACCACGCCGGGTGCCACTCCTTTCAGCTAAGAACAGGAAACTGAGGCTACAATTTGCACAAGCTCATCGAAATTGGACAATAGAAGATTGGAAAAACGTTGCCTGGTCTGAGGAGTTTCGATTTCTGCTGCGACATTCGGATGGTAGGGTCAGAATTTGGCGTCAACAACATGAAAGCATGGATCCATCCTGCCTTGTATCAACGGTTCAGGCTGGTGGTGGTGGTGTCATGGTGTGGGGAATATTTTCTTGGCACTCTTTGGGCCCCTTGGTACCAATTGAGCATCGTTGCAACGCCACAGCCTACCTGAGTATTGTTGCTGACCATGTCCATCCCTTTATGACCACAATGTACACAACTTCTGATGGCTACTTTCAGCAGGATAATGCGCCATGTCATAAAGCTGGAATCATCTCAGACTGGTTTCTTGAACATGACAATGAGTTCACTGTACTCAAATGGCCTCCACAGTCACCAGATCTCAATCCAATAGAGCATCTTTGGGATGTGGTGGAACGGGAGATTCGCATCATGGATGTGCAGCCGACAAATCTGCGGCAACTGTGTGATGCCATCATGTCAATATGGACCAAGCTCTCTGAGGAATGCTTCCAGCACCTTGTTGAATCTATGCCACGAAGAATTGAGGCAGTTCTGAAGGCAAAAGGGGGTCCAACCCGTTACTAGCATGGTGTACCTAATAAAGTGGCCGGTGAATGTATATTGCGATATTAAAAAATACAGGAATTTTCACCAGATGACCTGAATAGCACTTTATTTTATGCTGCACTGCTGAAATCTTGTGGACAGTTAACCTGCTCTGATCTTACCTCTTTTTGTGAATGTTCGTAGAATGGCTTCTGTCTGTCTCAGAGATATTTTTAGCTTTTATTGTGCTGGGATGCTATTGTGGCAACAGATGAACAACACTGCCGACACAGAACACATGTTTTGGTCGACATCATCCTTCTTGTCACCGAAATAATTCAAGATAACCGATGTTGCTTTTCTTTTTGGCAACAAGTCTTCATCTTCGGTGGGTTTCTCTTGAACTGCATACACCTCACAAAATGCACACTGCTTATAGTAAAATGGTTCATGGAAATGTACAATTTAAAACCCATACAATTTTTATTTGTTGGGCTAAACAGTGATGAGTAATGTTCCGAAAGTAATTCTCGGTGGGCATGTGTTTCTTGGCTCAACACTGAGTAAAGAATGAATGTGATTGGTGTATCGCTGCACAGCACATGCAGAGTCACATGCAGTGTATCTCAGTCAGCTACCCTTGAAATTAGATGAGGTTATTCGCCTCCTACATCTCAGGCTCTGCAATGTGACTATTGCGCACACGTACATTGCGATGACGATGCTCAAACAATATATTGTGCAGCCCTACCATAAACTAAATATCTCAAGTCGAATAATACTTTATTTGATTCAGCATATAGCCATGGCTTACTTTTGAAGGTCATACATGTGCAAGCTGCTTAAGTTTTGACTGTCTGTTTTGTTGTATCTGACATGTAAAAGTAAACAATTGGGCCTTTTTGGAGAAATCTGTAAAGACTTACCATTTCCAAGGAAAGTAGAGTGAAAAATATCCTCTTAATGCTGGAGCTGCACACTCAGTGTTATCATTAGAAAAGACTTAAGGAGCAACAGGAACTTCATTTTCTTTCTTGATTTTCTCTGTTTTTACAGGTTTGTATCCAAGCAGTCAGAGGTCTGTTGAACATTTCTTTAAAAATCCAGAGCTCAATCTAGCTTAATATCCAACTGTGATCCACTGAAGCCCATTACTTTAACATGATTGAAAAGTAAACATACTTCAATGGAGATTACAGGGCTAACTTTAATGCCATTACAGCACTGACATGTGCCCCTGTTCAGATATTTTTAAGTACCCTGCTGCACCACCCCCAAACCCAACTTTTTACGACCCACTCCATAAATGAAACCATTCTCTGTAAATGTGCCTATGTCCTCTCCTGTGACCAATAATAGCCCTCAGTCTGATTGAATGAGCCATAATATAATTTGGATATTACTCCAGGTTAGTTGTATATGTATTGGCAGACCTCTGGTCTCTGTGCTCTATCCAACCACAGGACTTAAGGATAATGTTTCCCCTTAGCACCATTAATATCGAAGTCTTTAAATACTGTTGAGATCCGACCAACAAGTAATATTGGCTACCTGGCACCTCAGTCTGTTGACATTAAATCCCTTTTCATATTCCGAACTGTATGCCGTCATTTTCACGGTTTCCCTGGTAACTTTGACTGTTTGTAACACATTGAATTAGGTTGTCCGTGTGTCAGAAAAAGAATTGCTTTTCGAGAAGTTGCTTAAAGGTTGGGGATAAAAAACGACAGCAGTCCCTGAATCTGCTGAGCACTTTCAAAGCATGATGACTAAGGGGGAAATCAATATGAATTAATGGATTTAAATCAACATTTAATGTGTTGCTTGAAAATGATTGTGTAACACTTTTAATCATTTGGGTTTTTCTTCCTCAAAAAGTAGAATAATCTTATACCCTGCTGTGCAATTACACTGTTCAATTTGTTAAGATGTAAAACAATACTCTCCCACTGAGTAGCGTGGTTTGTGGGACCCTCAGTTCTCAGTCTCTGTATAAACAGCTCAGTGTGTGACTCATTTGATGCGTACTGTGTAATTCAGGTTGGGTGTAAATACACCCTGTTCAAACCGACACTGACCATCCTTCATGACAGAGCCGGATACATTATCTAAGCACTATAACTCCAAAATAAAATTACAAGGGTGAAATCACACGGTGACGGTTTGTCACTCCAGTAATTTCCACATTAAACCAAATTAAAAAGCTGCCTTCTCATTTCTTCTACAGGTTGCTTGTGCCACCTGCAGGAAGTGCTATCATAGATAATTAACGCTTGTGTCGCAAACACATGTTTTATATGTCATGTGTGAATTGATTGACTGAATGAAAAAATGATTGCCTGGTTGATTGATTGATTTATTGACTGAACTGGTAATTGTGTTCTTGAAATGTTTTCTTTTGTGTTGCTTTTAAAGGGTTCACTTATGTACTGTTAGGTGTGGCGTGTTAGCATTGATTATTTATGAGGTCAGACTAAATTCAGAAATGCAGCGCACCAAATTTCTGTCTTACCTTACCTTGGCGATTGATTTGTGGACACTGCTCGGGGCTTGTGTGACGGACAAAGACACCATCTAATGTCAGAAATGTCCCTCTCTGACTGTGTGGGTAAAAAAAGAGAGACAGAGTGAGTAAAATAATAAATGAAAAAAAAAAAAAGTCTTTGTCGCCTCTGCCCCCCCTTTTAAGGGAAATCTGGGAAATGAATTCAGCGATTGTTATGTTTCACCTGCTGCAAAGTCACCCCAAAAAACACAAAGCTGCTCTCCAACTCTTGCTGCTCGCTGAACTACTTAACCTACTATTACATCATTCTCTCTGGATCTGAGCCAGACAGCACTTGGCTGCCTGCCATCCTACTTTTTCGCCTCTCTCTGTTTTGTTGTACTGCACACTCGTACACACTTCTTACACTTTTCTTAACGTCTCAGTGCTGGATGGCCATCAGGTTTTTGCCCCGTGTCTCCGACAGTTTGTCAGTCCTCTTTGCAAAGCTGACAGGTTGTTGTTTTATTTATGCCACCGCTCGACACATGCATGCCACTCAAGAGACAGATGGACGTGTGTAATACCAGATTCCTTGCTGAATGCTGAATTGTACGTCTCTTTAAGTAAGCCCTGCAGGAGAATGCACGCTGAGAGATGCCCCCCCTCCTTATCAGTCAATGGGCATAAGTCTATCAGCAGCTCAAGCCTGGAGGAAGAGCTCTGTTTTTAACTGTTATGAATAGGTGCTTTTCTTGCTTCCTTTCCTCGAACCCTTTGCCCTGAGGCGGATACTATAGATGTCTTTGCTTGAACTTAACAGAACTCTTAAGTGAGTAGTGCTGAGGGAAGCAAACTTGTAGTGCTTACTGAGTGATTCTCAGCTTTAGGATTTAGCTTTTAGATATTCTAAACAAAAGTTTTATTGATACCTTGAAAACTTTTACGAAAGTTGATGCTTTTTTTCCCCCTAAGATTGTAACAACTGATACAAAAAACTACAATTTAATCATTCAACTCAATAGTATATTTCTTCTCCAAAAGAAGAACATATCATTTAAATCACTAATCCTTAAGAATAGACCAGTACTTAAATAAAAAGCACAGTCTACCTAATGAGTGCATGTGGAGTGGATACACAATCCAAAATAATTGTGCCAGCTTTAAGCCCTCAATAAAAGTCAACAAAGGCCCAATAATCAGGTGGTTGTGAAGATAATCTTGTCAATTCATCCTGTGTTGTGAGATGCAGTGCGAGTAATTTCTCTTTTCCAATCTGCATGAAAAACACAAGAGCCACCCCGCCTGTGAGTTCAGAGTTGACCTGGCACATAATGGTGTCTTTGTCAACACCTGTCCCTCCACTTTGCTGGGCTGCTCTCAAACCTTTATACTGCTATACTTTAAGTTCATTGGCTTTCACACACTACCCGCTACCCCCCACCCCACAGACCATAGAAAAAAAAAACTACAAGGTAGAATGATGGGACTTCTATCTGTTTCGTATGGCACAGTGGTTCTACAAGCAAGTCAGTGCATTCATTGGGTGGTTTCACAGAGTTACAAGGGTCTTTAAATGCAATGAAAACAATTGACTACAGCAATTTACTGACATTAGAAAATGTGATTTTTATTTGTGAGAATTATACACATACGTACAAATCATAAGCCAAACAACGATAAATTTGGCTGAATTAGAAAATGTATAAGTGGTAAAATGAAGAGCTGTTTGGGAGCCGAAAGAGCTGGCTCTTCTTGGTGAGCTGAGCCGAATGATCTGGCTCACTAAAAAGAGCCGTAATTCCCGTCACTAATGCTGACTCACAAGCATATACTGTATATACTATGGACAACTTGGTTCCGACTTCCGCCAGTATACAGATTTGAAGCCGAAAAACTCTTTCTCCCCATTTCCTGAAAACAACGTTGCACAGTAGCATTGTACATGCTCCACCACTTGCGCAGTAGTATTGTGCGCATTCGGTGGGAGTGTCGCAGAGAGTCGCTGTGATGGAACTCAGCTTAAACAGCTTATCCACTGGTTGAGTTGCACAATCCTTGTATGCCCAGAGGCTGTATCAAGTGTCAATCATAGAAACACAAACCCCCTAATAACTTTTAAAAAGCTGTACAGAAAAAAAGAGAACTTGAGCACAAACCAGTCTTACAATAACTACATGTCATCATGGGGGGAGAAAAATTTATGTTCTTTGTCATAAATTTCTAAAGTTTGTCCACAGCTCTATAAGCTTTGCTGGCGGAGGCAGAATTTATGATCTATACTGCAGCCTGTCACCAGAGGGTGCTGTTCTCGGAGTGGCTTCACCCAGCAAGGAGGCAGACTCTGTCCATTCTATATACAGTTTTTGCTCACAAGTCTATAAACGTCAGTATTTTCATGAGATCTGTCCAAATGTTTATGCAGCATTTGACCTCTTCACTTCTTCAAACGAACTGGCGACTCAGTTTGTTGGTACACTAGTGTCTTGAAGCAAATTTTCAACAATACAATGTGCTTCCAAAACATGTGGCATTTGCACTGAGATAAAGGGGCTGTGTCAAAGGAATCATTACTGATTTAGGTTGTGTTACTTTAAATTTTTAGACAATTTATTCTTAATTTAAATGTAGCCAACTACCTTGCCCTAAAATGAATGCCTATGAAGTTAGCTTTGCGCCTTGTATGCTAGCGCAGATCCCCTGATTAGGTCTTCTGAGGTGGGTATAGGTTTTGTCTGACATCCCTCTTACTCCTCCAATATTCCCACTGTTTCTTCCCCATCACCTGTGTCAGTGTCCAGGTCAGACCCTCCCGGCTACAGCAGATGTTACATTATTCCCCTGATAAAAACTACACTTCTTTGCCATTCGGATAGCAAGTTAAGTGTCTGGACTTCTTCACCACCCCTGGCAATAACAACAAAGCTGTCTCACAAATACTTTTATTCAAAAGTTTAGATTTATTTGTTTCAGTTGTTTTCTGCTTTTGTGTTTTTACCTTTCACGATTTGTGTATTTGCAGTGCAATTGCTGATGTTTAAGCTTCCTGCAGCACTTTTTTCCCATGCAGTCAAGTTTATGTCAGCTGTCACATTTAAGACTTTTGCATTTTTTTTTTTTCACTGCCTCTCCTTTTACAATATGTAAAAAAAAAAATCTGTTGTGTGTAAAAACATTACAAAAGCGTAGACTTTTCATACCTCAGGATAATTCCTATGTCTTTATTTGCTTTTACCGCCATTCTCCGATGATAATTAATGTAGCTGCTGACTGGCGCTAAGTCTGTTTGCACAGCAAGATGTCCAAGCATCAATCTGTCCACAATGGCTTTATCAAACTTTCTGTACTAAGCATTATCCTTTAAGACTGTAGGCTGTGTTTTCAGTAGGCTTTAGTTTATCTCAAGTTTGTACATTTACACAAGGCACAGCAAATATTATTCATTGTTTGGATGAGACTGATTTATTTTTCCAAGACATCATCTTTAACACTTGATAATTTGGAGACCTTGGCAGATGCCTCCAGGTGAAAACAGGTTGAAATTCACCTCCAGCGTATTTCTTTGTTTTGATACTCTTGCATTGCTCCCTAGCAACAGCTGCTTAATTCCACTCCATCTTTTGCCTATTTGTCAGGTTTCTGGGGGATTTAAACCTGACTGAGTTGTATTGATAGGTAAGGCTCTGATCCCAAGCATTTGCAGGGGGAAGTTGACAGTGACAGAGGAAAACAACGTAGAGAAGTGGAAAAAAACAGCATCCCCCTCTTGTAAAATAAAGACAACCTCTAATTCACCTGGCAGAGAAGGAGGCAAGCATGTCCGGTCCTGAGGATTGATGCCAATGCAGTGATCTCACAGGTTTGATCGAGCTCTTGGAAAACAGTTTATGCTTCATGATGGATTGCCTGAGGGTAATGCATTAAAATTCAAGATGGCAAAGTTTCCTTGTAATGCTTTGATAATCTTTATAGACATCTGATGAATTAATAACTGCTTTACTTGGAAAAAAGATGAGTTTTTTTGGCTGATATTTTGAAGTAGCCTAGCTTTCGTTATCATTACATTGGAAACCTCCCTTTCTCAAGACAGAATGATTTACAAACCCCCATTCACACCCTGCCATGGCCGTGCCTTATGTGTTGACAGCCATGCCAAAACGTCAAGCCTTTCAGATGCACAAACTTTGTGCCTTGTCAACCAGTTGTGTAATTGCTATTCAATTTATAGACGCAGAACGCCTCACGGGTAAAACTCAAGCTGCAAAAGCAGCCTGCAAGGAGTTTTCTGGGTGTAGTGACGAGGGATTTTATGCATGGGCTGTATGACATTTCTCATACAGCACGTATCTCTCCAAGTGGGGATGATTGATGGTCCCATACTTGTAGAAAATTCAAATATCATGTTACAGCCAGACAGGTGTCTCCATATCCACGGATCCTTACATGAATTTCACCTTTTCTTTATGGTTTATGGTGCTTAAAGAATTTGTCCGAGGTCCACAGACACATGTCTCTTCGGTAGAGCAGTGGGGGGGTTCACCTAGAGGCAAAAACAGGAAGAATACAAAATTTCACATCACTGCACTTTCAGTCTTTTTCCCTCTTTATTTGAAAGGAAAGGCTTTGATTTTTGCCCTTTACTCATATGGCTGTTATTTAAAACAAAAATAACCTTTCCCATTATAGTTATAGAGCCAACATAGCTTTTAGCACTCATTTTAATTCCAGTAAAAATGCCATTAAAGTTTAAAATAATACAACAAAAAGTCTGAAAAAACAGAAACAAAAACCCACACAGGAAATTAAGTTATTGTTTGGAGAGGCACTTCAAGAGCTTTGCGGAGTATTTCAATGAGCAGCAGAGGAGTAAAAGTCCCATTTGAAGGACACACCTGAGCCTTTAGGAAAGACTTGTCAACGATTCACAAGTAGAGCCATGAAATCTCCAGGGACGCTCTCTCTTCTGAATGGCTTTATTAGTGCCTCTGCAGTCAGCCCGGCTTCACTTAAATGAAGCAACACTTAGAAGTGCGATGAAGTAACGCGGGGCCCATTAACTCACTTCGCAGCACGGCACCATGCCGCTGGTGCCGAGTGATATTGCCAGCAGCTGGGGTGACAACATTCAACCCATATGAGGTTAAGCGCTGTAAGGTAACAAAGAAAAAAAGAAACAGCGAAACAAAACAGTAAAAAAATGCTATAAAAAAGGGTAACCTTCCTCCTGTGTTAGCTTTTACTACGCACTCACTATGTTAAGGGTCAGTTTTGACCTATGTCTTAAATCAGCAGTAAATTACACTACAAACAATTCTCTATCATCCAAGTTGGTTCTCTTCTCTAGGTTACCTTGTTAGGCTTTGTTATCCATGAAAATATTGCTTATAATATTTTTGTAGTGGGTCTCTGGGCCTTTCTTTGTCAGGATACCCCTCACACAGACATCTATACCGAATTGATCTCACATGTCTGGACATGCCTGACATTGTTTTTTGTGCAGGGAAAAACATGGTAAAATGAGAATTTCCTAAATCGCACATGATTGAAAGAGGATCTGACTGTCAGTGTGGTGCCTGACAGTGCACTTTTGAGTTGTTTTTGCTCCAGTTATTAGATATTAATCTAACCGGCACAACAGCGACCCTATCACGACAAGTGCCATAATTTTAATAAGGGCCTTTTATAAGTTAGTCAATTAAATTTTTTTCATTACGTTAAAATAGAGGTTCCTGACAAAGTCAAAAAGTCTTGATGCAAAAAAGCTAATTTAAGTGGTTCTTTTAGGCATTTAAAATCAAAAAGCCGTCTGTGCAGACCCTATCACAGGAAGAGGGTTAAGGAGCAATGTTAGGATGTTAAATTGGTATCTGGCTGAGACATTCTCTACAGCTTCCTACATACCGACCTTAATGTGACTGTGACTGTAATAATACTTGCACTTCCTTAATCATCATCTGAACTCAGCTCTATTGTTTTGTGTCGAAAAGGTCACCAGGTCATCGCTCATGAAGTGTTTTTTCCTGTAAAAAGTGTGAATTTGATCAAACAAATGTATGATTTGAACCGTTGCTCTACAAAACAACAAACAAACAGATGTGGAGCGCTCACAGGAAGTGTCGCAAGAGGTGTGCGTATACTCATTAATGTATATGCCTGTCACAGTGAGTTGATCTGGAGGTGCTGAAAACAGACCACTAAGCCACAACCAGGCCTCCATCGTCCTTTTCATGCGCATTCCTCAGCTTAACATGTCAAGAAGAGAAACACATTATGAGATGCTGCTGTCCCCGTGGGTATGAATTAAGCATGTGACAGGGGCGTGTGCGAGTATGTTTAAGTGTGCCCTGTTCATTTGAGGAATGTCCCCAGTCTACCCGGTCGAGCGGAACTCCATCGAAACCGGAGAGCAAGTATCACCTCAGCCGAGCAGTGATACTGAGAGGCCACGATACCTACATCTCACTCCACTTCACTTAAACCCTTTTAACTCGTCTGTCATCTGCTGGAGCAACTTAAGCGGAAAGAAAATTGCACAGTGCGAGCTGAAAGTTTGACGCGTCGCGTAGAGTTCATGTGTCCTGTCACTGCTGCTGCTGCTGCTGTTGTGTGGCTTGTCCTCAAATTTTTAAAGCACGTCTTTAACTGCAAGAGGTCAACTGAAATGGTTAACCTCCCACGTGCCAGAGCGAAACAAGAAAGAGGAAGTACTAATTAAAATTTATGGTTACAAGAGAGGCTGAAATAAAGCTGTCAGGTTTTTGAACAAAGATCAGAAAATGGAGAGAGCTGCAGAAAACATTTTTTAGTAGAGTAGTCTTAGCAGGAGAGCTATATTTATTTATTCAAGAGCACATACCCTTCATTGACTTGAATGCAAATCTTTACAAGTGATGAAATAGTTGAGTTTCCACTTCAGTAAAAGTTTTAGAGATAAAGTTTTAGATGTAGTGACGTAAAAAAAAACTTGATCAAAGAGTTCAGAGGAAGAATGTTTTTTATGTGCTGCTCTATTTCAAATGAAGATGTTCATAGATAACAAGAAAAGAGAGAATGAAAGCGGGGAAAAGGTAAACTATTAGTTGTTGGTATTTCATGCTGGATGATACTTGGCTTGGCCTCTCTTATGAAACGACTGTGTGCTTCAGTGACTGGGCTCCTGTCCCTTCAGGCTGATTTACACTCAACACCGTTTCTTGACTCTATTTGTTTTCCGGTTCCTAAGCAACTGCAGGTTGTTGTCCTAATGCACTGTTACCTGTCCTGTTTGTCTCCCCACAAGCATAGTGGATTGTCTCATCTAATTTATTGCCACATTACATTGTTCTGTTTGGGGACAGTACAACTTGTTACATCTTTGTTCCTGGTAAAGAACAAGCTTTCGTCTGTCTGTAGTCTGACGGTTTCAAACACCAACCCTCACTGTGCACACATATTACAGATAGACTGCTACAAAGCAGCTGTTTGGTTTCGGGTAATTGCAGTATTTCAGTTCACATTTGCCTTGTAATTTGGTATTTTTATAAGAGCTTTTGCTCTGAAGTAACCGTCTCATATCCTTTTATTTCTGCTTATCAAAACAGATAAAAAGCCCAGCCTCGCTCTGACGGACACGCTGTACAGCTCACTGATTCAACCGCAATGCTTTAATGCTAAACCATTACATGCTTGCTCAATCCATCTTGGCATGACTAAAGGCCTGTCATTGTCCGTGTAAATACATCTATGGAGTTTCTGCAAGAGTTTAGGTGCGGTCATTCTGAGGTTGAGTAATTTGCCTTTGGACCTGGGAAAGCAGTGGGGCGTGATCAGCGTTCCTTATAATCCCTTAATGCTGTTATTGTTTTATAAAGAAATCCCACATTTTAATCCATCATTCCCAGAGTTTTCTGGCTCTGCAAGTTTTCACTTACCGCGCAGGACAGGATAATGTGAGTCCACTGGGCTGTATTTAGTTTTATTCAGCATTATGTCAACTGCATTAAAAAGCTCCAACGGTGTCATAAGATGTAATAAGAGTAAGTAATTTAAGCAAACACCGACTTCTCGTATTTTATTTCCACAAGATGCACACATTAATGGGGCTTTGCATGTTCCACCTGCAAGTCGGCAGCACTTTTAAGAGAGGTAGTTAATTGTGAGTACTCACTCATGCCCACCTTCCATTACAACAGCATCAGCAGTCATTTGCACAGTTATCCATGTAAATAACTCCCTTTTTTATTAAGTTTTCTTGACACCGTTTTCCTCAAATTGCCTTATTTTATGATCTGCTTTTTTGAGATAATTGCATTTAAGTGAATTACTACGCACACTGCTGGTTGTAAAGTGCTTGCAGCGACAATAAAGAACCTCCTAGGTTATGCACACATTCATGTACTCCTGGAGACATCTTTTGCCAGGGTATGAAGTCATGTTATAAAACACACTTCACATATGGTGTTTTAGGGTGAAACTACGTCTGTCCTTGGAGATGAAATGAGAAAGGTTGAAATAATACTCTCGTTTTACAAATTATTCTTTGTTTAAGGTTGATTCTCTTACGCAGTAGATCCTAATTTAGGCTGAAACTGTCCCTCCATTTGGCCGTGCAGCAACAGGTGCAGCCCACTGTCTCCTCTGATGGATATAATAGCTGCTCTCTGGCTGGGATTCTCAGAGGCAGCATAATCCAGCCCTAATCTCCCTGAAATTCAGGGAGGATTGGGTTCTTCAGATGAGCAAGTGGAAACCTTTCCTGGTGTGTGAGAGCAGAAAACGTCTATATTTGTTCTAAAAGAAAAAAAACAGGCATGGGTTTGTTTTTTCATGTCCATGTCTGCCTTTATTTAAAAAAAATCTGTTTTAGTCTGCATCTGAAACTCTCGGCTCTGCTTGCAAAAACAGCTGCTGTTAAATGGCTGCTACTGTTTTAGGGAACTTTATACTGAAAAGTAACCATTATTCAATAAATAAGCTATGACTTAATGAATTCTCTAAGTCTTTAAGTCAATTTTGTTGCTTTACAAGCGGTTTTTGTTCATTTGTTTTCTTTCATCTGCTTTGTCAACAACACCGTAATCCTCTGTCGATCTTGGTGTTTTTTCTTTTGCTCTTTGATATAGTGCACA